ATTGAAAACAAATTATTAAATTTGAAATATTTTCCAATATTTTGACTATTGCTCATTAGCCAAAATGATGATGAAGGTGCGATTTTAGGATATAAATAAAATTGAAATCCACAGATAAATTTATATATATTTCATCTTCCAGATTGTAAACTACTAAAGCTTTCGCCAAGAATTATTTATTAACACTGCAAAATGAAGAGAATGATTCACTGTGGAATAAAAATTTAATTACAGAAACACAGTGTAGGATTATTACGCACGCAAATAAAGTAAAAAGGCGCAGCTTTCATATGAAAATCCATCTCGCAGTATCTATCTTTTTAAAATGATGAAAATTGCATGCTATGGTCCTCTTATACTTACTCAAACGATTCTTTTAGAAATGCATAAAGTTAGGCTTTCAAGACAATGTAAACCTTGAAAATATTAGCGTAATCAATATTTTTTAATCAACAAAATAAATTTTAAAGATTGTAAAAAAAATCTTTGTGCAGAATCGTTGTTCTTCGTTCTGACAACTTCTTCATTTTGGAAAAATACATTTTTCATGAAACTTTCGACTTTTAAGAACAGCGAATACTGAGCCTTCATTTGCTCCTTTGGTTCAAAAATGCATGGAAAAAAATTGCACCATCATAATCTATTCATTGAATTTCGCCTTTTTTGCAGACTTGCACCTTGTATTCAGCTAATTATTATCCCAGCGAACTACACAAATTATGCTGAAACGGCAATCCAGTTGAAATTAAATGAAATTTTTGAATTAAATGAAAATGAATTCGTGCATTATTATGCATTGTTTTACAGAAATTTAAAATGAATTTTTTATTTAATAAAAGAAAAATTATGAATAATGTATAGTTTTCAACGAGGAGGAAAAGCAAAATGAAATTAATCTATTTAGATTTCAAAAGTAATGAAAGTAGTGATGAAAAAGTTGATGAAACAGTTATGATTTTTATTCTTTCCTATTCTTACAAAATGGATGTGAAAGAAAGCTTGTAAAAAATGCGATGCCAAGCAGCCTGTTGCTAAGTACTGAAATAATGCTAAAGCAGTAATTTGATTTTCTGATTTGATACACAAGATAAACTCGTAATAATAAATTTTATTATATTATCTTCTAAGCGTGAATCCATGAAATGCTTCCAATCTGATTTATTCAAAGTGAAAATGGCAAATGTATAATCGTCTAGTACCAAATTTTTGCATGCATGTCTTAATTTTCTTCATTAAAATTTCTTCATTTTGGAGTGAAGGGGACATGAATTTTCACTTATTGCATGGAAATATGTATATAACTATGCATTATCTATTTGGTTGTTTAAATTGGAAATATTTTCCATTTTTGAGCAAAATGTACAAAATTATTAAATACGTCCTTTTACCACTTCATCAATTAATTGATCTATTGTAAAAATATCTTACAGTTTGTAAAAAAGGTAATTAGGCATATGCCAAATAACATTCAATGAGAGATGAAATAAAATTAGTTATCATTTTTACATCATAAATATATAAAGCTATGTTTTGTCACATCATTTTCGGTTTTTCTTTTCACTTAAAAATTTTTTGTTGCTACATTTTTGAAATTAATATTCAGCTTATTAATACAAAAAGAATGAGATATGATCTTTCAAAATGACTTCAAAGAATAAAATATTAATTGTTCATTACAATGAATGAAAGCACTAAGTGGTTCTGAGCAGGGACCAAGCAAATAGAATTTAAGGTTAAGTAACGATTCTCAAAATATTTGTATAGAATTCCGCCATAAAAACCATTTTACATTTTCCGACACATATTGTAGTTTTCTTGATAAAGAAATAGGTAACATTGGGATAGTTTGCAAATGTTTCAGAGTTCTAAAACATTGTTCAAAAATGAAATTTGGCTTAAATAGAAGTGATAAATTCTTTCTTAAAAATATCAAATACCTCATCAGAAAGTGCTTATTGATCTATATTTAAATGCAAAATATTGCAACTGTTTAATAAATTGAGTTGTAAAAAAAGTCCTATTTTTTTAACTCGGATTTTAAACATAGTATATGTATACAAATAAGAATTATCATTAAATCTATAAAAATAATTCTAAATGTTTTATGACTTAGTCGATCACTTCAAAAATAATTATCCTTTTTTAAAAGGAAGCCATTTCAATTGATTGTAAGAGTACCAAGGAAAACAGTAAAAGCTTAGCTTCTGCCTTTACAAAAAAGTCGTGCATGGTTTTTCAGACTTTCCTGTTCTCTCATGTTGAATATACATGTAGGCGCAATTTTCACTGTTATCGAGCAGGTAAAAAATGATTAAAAAGTTAATAACTAAAATCATTTTGCAGATTATTCTGAGATATTGAAGGAACGAGGGATATTTGAAATAATAGGAGTCTAACGATTTACGCCATAGAGATGTGAAATCTTTTTACATCAGAAGTCGTATTATTTCAACTGTGGGATTCAATGCTTACTACCTTCAACAAAATACAAAAATAATAGCTAATTTTTCAGTACTATTATTTTTTTATTCTAAAGTATATTATTCTATCCTAAAAAATCAATTTTTGTTGTTATCTCTTTACTTTTTTAATCGTCATTCCAGCATTTAACGTTGCTCTTTTTATTTTGAAGCTTCGTTTTACCGTCATTATTAGCTATATGCTTGATGAAACAAATATAGTGAAGTGAGTTCACTTATTTGAAAAAGAAAACCTATCAGAAAATACCAGACATGCGAAAGAGATATAAAAACGGATCATGTCATACTTGTCAGATATGAAATCTTTTCTCATTATGTAACATTACAACTAGTTCGTGAATCCATGAACGGAAATTATGAAGCAAAAATAACTCATTTTCAGGTTTTTTTATTGTTATGAAAGTATGCTTTAATTTTAAATACTACTGATAAATGGTACTTCACATCCTCTGCTTTGATGTTGTAATTGCATTAAAACTTTTCAGGAAAATCCACACAGGATGGATGTAAATTACTTAATATAATCGAGATGTTATCAGTCAAATTTAATGAGCAAAAAGTTGCTTGTAAAAAGATGCTGTAAAAAGTTGGCATGTGATTAAGAGGATGCAGCAGCTAAAGACGAAATATAGGACTTGCATGAATAGCCATTAAGCAAACTCATAAGAGAATTGAATTACGTGTTGATTCATACCTTAAGAGGTGTTATAAATAATATTTATTCAAAGAAATTCAAGCAAATTAGTTCAAAATGATTTTAGAAAATACTTAAGAGAAATGAACTTCGGATGGGAACTTACAACGAATGAGCAGAGAATTGAAGAATTTAGTATACAAAGTTAAAAGTAATTTAATACCTACAAATATAAACAAATAACTGGTAACTTTAATACGATACTCAAGTGATGCTTCCAATACCTATACATATAAACAAATTCAATACCTACACATATGAACAAATATATATATGTATAAATGAAGAAAAATGCTACAAATCTTAAAGCATGAATTAACTGAATGAATTAATTGAATCATTATTAATTCCATAAAAATTCAAAAATCAACTTCGTGTGCACTTTTTTCACGATAAATGCAATTTTTTCATTTTGGTAAGGGTGGCAAATTAAATATGAAGAAAAATTAACAAATTAAAATCAATCTTATAAACAATTTCAGTTAAAAAGCTATAACACAGCACTGAAATTAAGAGGAATAAGCAAAAACAGCGGATTTAAATCCATTCAATAAATAAGATTCTTGCCTAACTACTTCACTCCTCTCATTTACATAGAGTTTTCATTTATACAAACAACCCTCCCACGTACTCCCCTCTCATCTTTATCAATCCGTCCTCGCCACCAGGTGACTTCGTTAGAATCAAAGACGACCTGTCACTTAATCACTCCGCTTCTTTCCTTCAACATTTTTCTATGTCACAAATGCCGTTTCCCTGCTTATCCAAGGTTTTAGATTCCTTTCCCTATACGAAATACATGGAATTCAAACACAAGCGTGCTGTGTCACCCATAATTAGCATCCTTGCGGATAATTATATTTCGACTTTTGTGGGTTTGAACTATTCTAGTAGCACAACTTCATTAAAAAAATTGAGTAAAAGTTTATATCCTTGTTTCTTCTAAGGAACTCACTTCAGCTAGCACTACTTATCTCAATATGAATTTGACAAATTTTGGACACGTTGAAATACAAATTTCAGCTCAGAATAAAGTAGTGAATAATATATTTTAATTATGATGCAGTTACTTAGTTACCAAATTGAAAACAATACTTACAAATTTGACAAGCAAAAAAATGGAGAAGAAACCGAGAATTTTTCTTTTGTAGTACATTTGCATTACGTAATCTTTCTTTTCCGAGAATTTCTCGATAAAATTGAAATATATAATTTTCAGATGTAAACATGGCTGACAACAAAAATTATTTCTTAATGGAGATAATTGGCCATACGATTATGATTTATTTTTTCAAACATATTCTATAAACAAGTATTGCTTATTTTTTAGCACTTTAAATTAGGTCCTATCTAATTAAATAAATTGAAAGAGTTGAGATGAAGCAACAACTTCAGTTTTGAATGCAATATAGTATGCTCGTTATGTCCTGTTTCCAAATGGATTTATTTGAATACTATTTAATATTTGAGGCTCATATGAACTTTAACAGGAAAGAAATAATGCTGAAGTGTATATTATGGGTCTTCCTCATCTGCATGAAATACCAATAACAATTTCAAGCCAAGAATGAAAGTTTAAAACGTAATCAATGGTAAGACAATGAAAATGATACAAATAATACAAGAAGGATTCTTGAATATGAAGGAAGATGGGAAGTCCAAGGAGGAGAAAGGAACGGGACAAGACGAATGCTGAATGTCCTGATGTCCAGATTGAAGCACACAAAATTGTTTCCCAAATGACGTATGCGCTGTTTGCCACAGATAACACAACCACCCCCACCTCCACCTCTACCTCCACCCACATCTCCAACTCACCTTGAAGATCACCAGCTGACTCGGATACTGCAACACAGGACACTCTCACCCTCGGATGATGTGATGTAATAGATATGTGGAGAGGGGCATTGTGGCACCTCCTTCACTCTGCTAAGCAAAACACTGTTGTAAGGAAGCATCTGTTGCTTCGTAAAAAGTAGGGAGAGAAGTGCGCCGAGGCGATCCTCATGTCGTCGGTCATCATTTTGCCGTAACTCTGCCAATCCGAAATATTCAGTGGCTGAACTCTCTTGCAGATTTTTCTCCATTGTGCCGCTCTAAGCGTTCTGGAATTTCAAATTCAAAGACATGTGGTGAATGGCATCCGTTCTCTTCCGAAATATTCTCACCAATGCAGCTGGCGCAGATGCTCTTTGAGATGTCTGTCAATTCAATATCTGCCCGTGCTACCCTCCCACTACCTATTAATTTGTGGCTCAAAGATTTCCGACGCAAAGATAGGCCGTAATACGCCAAAAAACATTTCACATCAAATATCCTTTTGCTTTTTAATAAAAGATGATGAGCATGAGATGAACTCAAAATAATATAAGCCTGAGCAATACTTAAGTCTGTTCAGATTTGACATCTTAGCAAGCTTGTGTCCTGCTAAAGGACTTAACAAATCAGCACAAAGCATATGATGCACATGATTCATTTCATTCTTCACTTGAATACAAATACATATGATTGCTAGTTTGAAGTAATGAAAGAGCACTTCTTTTTAGGAAGTGATAGAAGTAAAAAACTCTCACTAAAGGGAACTTCACTATATCTGGACAGTCAAAAGTGCTGCGTTTCGCAACAGTTATTTACGTCACATTGTTTATTCCGAATCTGTTCTATGAATGAACTACTATTTCGATATGATTATCCGGAAAAGCAATGCAAAATGCCTGCGATCTTTAGTGTATTTATCATTGTTTAAATTTCCCCTTTCCCTCTTTCCCTGCCTCTCCCTCTCGTTAACCCTGTGATTTCTAAATATGTTGAATTTCACTAAGTACCTTGTACATACACAATCCTAAGTGCATTGATGTGAAGTGCGCCAATCCTCGCAACATCATTGTGATATTACAATTTCTTTTGGATCTAACTCACTCCGATCCAGTTTTCTAATACTTGGTCTTTTTAAACGCTTCGAAATTCTTTCTGTACATTAAAGAAACAGATGCATACTTCATATATTTGGAAAGAACCCAAATTTATCAAAAAGTTGTTGACAATATATACCTCACCCGCGGTCTTATCATTGTTTCCCCTACAAACATGTCAACACACTCCCGTGTTTTGCACTGCCTAATCAACAGAAACTATTAGTTATTGTTTCTAGTCATTGCTAACCGGTAAACATAGCCGACGTTGATACCATACTGTCACTAACAAATGCTTGCTAAATTTTTACTTTAAAAACAGTTTCAAATTGGTCTGCTCTATGTCATAATAGTGCATATCTCTGACTTATAGAATGGAAGTCATTTTGCTCACAATTTGCATTTCTATACCGGAATCACTTTTTGTCATTTAAGTAATATGCTTAGAGAAAAATTTAAAATTTTCGTTGCAACAAATTATTTACTGCGTTTTGTGTTTTTGATGGACATTATAGAAAGAATTATTTTGTGGTAGTTTCTTTATCTTTTTATGTTATCGTGTAATCTTCGTGCTAAAAAATTGCATTATACGTAACATCAGTCTTTGAATCTCTGGTGTTGGAGAGGAATCAGGAAGATAATAGATGGGAAAGGAAAATGAAGGAATAGAATGTGCTAGTAGATTTCTCATTAAATTTATGGTTTTAGTGATATCATAAATAAAAAAATATAAAAATTATTTTACAGTAATGATGGCTTAATTTTCACAGAATCCACATTTCCTCTACATGTTCAGAATGTCAAACATCATTGCTCTCATACACGATCTTTCTTGTTATGTAATATTTTTTCGCTATTTTACGCAGTACTTCCATTTTCTCTCCAGTCCTCTACATTCCCATTTTCATCTCAACAGTGATCAAAAGATTTTGATAAGATGTCAATTTAAAATATTTCTAGTAGGTTTGTATAAATGATCCTCAATAGGTTTGTAACCTTTTCATCCGTGAATTATTTACATTAAATCTCACTGTTTATAGTAAAAACGTTAAAACGTTACAAGCAAATGTAATAATATTTGTCTCTCTAAATGAGTGCATTCTGAAAGTATCTCTCGAAACCAAATTATTTAGAATACTGAGAATGAATGCTTTACATTCCGAGAATGAATCATAAAACAACCAAATAACAATTCTTCTTGGTCCCCATGCCACACATTACAAAAGTTGCTGCTTTGAAGCGCCTCTTCACAACAAATACCTCCTCCCCTCTCTATTTGATATTGCAGCCCGAAGTATATTCAATATTTAAATGTTAGGTGTATGTGTGTATATATATATATACATATATGTATGTATGTATGTTTAGGTATATGCTTACGTATACACATACGTGTGCGTGCAACATTTATGAGAGTGTTGAGTGTTTGCATTCAAGCATGCCAAAGTTTCAATCCGATAAGATGAGCGTTTGTGCATAAAAATTAACATCCTGAGAGGAGTGAAATTGATTCAAATCGGATTATGACAATCATTCATCGAAATGTATAAGTTTCGATTTTATGTATGCTTCTGTCTGACTATGTTGTATATTCGTAAAAATTTTTAATGGAAACATATTGATGGCATTAGTGCATTATGAATGATGAATACAGGTGGAAATTGTGCAGGCTTTATTACCAGTCCTTTATAAATCTATGTCAATTTCATGATCTATCGCTCGATAATGATATAGCAGGCGATATAGCATATTCCTGATGCGTATATGTATGCATTTAGAGAGAATTAAGTGCAACTGATGACAGCGATCATCAATTCATCAACCACTTTTCAAAGCTCATTCTAATTTTGTTCATATTAATATAATTTGAAGTACGGATTATAAGTTTTCAAATGTAGCAATTTAATAAAATTTAGCTTAAAATATAATGAAATTAAATATGACATGATAGCAGTAACCTTTTCTCACTCCTTGCCCTATCTTCCAAGCATTTATCAATTTTTTTGTTTATCCAGCAGCCAAGTCGTTCCAGAAACATGATTACTTACTACATTAACTGCTCTTTTCCTCAGCCATTCTTATGATATTCGTTATGATAATCATTTTCTCGTTCTGGTCATTTTTATTTGCATTTTCAATAATACCCTCTACAGATAACATCTAATATCTGAAGCTTTGCTTTAAGAAGTGATTTTATAAGCTACACAACTTTTGTCAGTTGAACGTTCTTATCAATATTGGTTAGCATATAATTCAAAATTAGTGATAAGCTCATCCTAGTATTATATCAGTTTTCATCTCGCCGACATATCAATCGATATATTTTCATCGTCAGCTTACATATTTCTGATCATATTAAGCTCTGATCCAACAGAAAATTATATTTTGTCCAGAGATTGAAACATTATTGATTAATTAATATTGAATTTTCGTTGAACAAATCTGAATTACAATAATCGTTGATTGTTTGAACAAGGCCAGATTCTGAATAGCTCACCCCTACTCCTGCCCTCAAAAAAGTGTTCAATTGAACGATTATCATCAAACTAATTACCACACAAATTATTTTCTGTTATTAATGCTGTGCTTTATAATAAGCTTCAAAAAGTGGAAAAGTAATGTTATAAGTTAAAGGCCTTTATTGTTGTGGATTTTTATTTTTGTTTGTTTGACACAATCGAATTGTTTCAAAGGTCTTATCATTTGATGAAGTGTTTTATTCCCTCTTGACGTTTTAATACAAGTATTAAAAAATATGGTTGATTTCAGTCGATCATTAAGTTGATCTTCTTTGTTCGTTGTGGTAATGATTCAGATGGTAAGGCTGATTTCTGTAGTAATTAAGGCGCTGTATATTCCTTTCGAATTGGGCGGTGCTTCAAGCTATTCATTGTAATTCAGTCACTTTGTAGACTAAACTATTGGTACAAAAAAAACCAAACATCATTTGATTGATGAACAAAAAATTATCTGATCTGATGGTAAAATATAAATGAACCTGATAGTAAAAGAAAGGATCATCTGGTCATTTCTTATGTCATTGTTGGTGTTCTTGGAATCGTATATCAAATGAATGAATCAGATATATCTTATCCTCTGACTAAAACAAAATATTAAAAAAAAAAAATACTTTAATCATGTAAGTAATTTTATATTATAAGGTTACTTCGGGTTTCTAACATTTATTACAGTTGTGGATCTAACGCATATGAATTCAATTTACGTTTTGCACTGTACGATTCCAATATACTATTCTCTTTTTTTCATTTTTCCATGAAGGAGAAACTGGTCTAGTAAATGCGGTAGAATTAAACATTTGTATTTGTCATAGTGAGCCTGTCACGGTACGTGTCATTACTGTCTCAATTTTTGTTCATTTCTTAGAGTATTTATTGATAGATTATGCAGTAGTCATCAGCTATCCCTTTTGTGAATAACTTCAATTGCCTCTGTTGACTATAACATTTCCACTACAATTTAAATTGTTGATTGCAACAAAACTTATGCCATTTTTTTCTGTAGAGAAATGAACAAAGTTCTTTCAAAGATTATTGTCTAAAAAGTGAGTGAAACTGAATTTATAGTATTCTTTTTTCCTATATGTCTTGTTCCATACTAAACTGGTTCAAAATTTCCACATGGGAGCTCGTTCGATTTTGGATTTTTATCTCAGTTAAACTTAAATAAATCTTAAGAAATTTTATATTAATATAAAAAACTTAAAAAGTGGGAGGTTTTACTTCTTCCGTGGTAATTTGATTTCAAACTGCTAGTAATATGTTCTTCAAGTCGTATCAGATTTGTGAACATTTCAACATTTTAATATTGCATTAAACAGGATAATTAAATTCCCTGAATGTTTCAAAATGCAACATGCATTTTCTTCATCCACATGCAATTGCTGTAACAGTGCATTCAAAGCTGTTCGATCTAATCATATACAATGCCTCACACATATGAATAAAAAAGATTTGGAACAACGTGACATCAGTGGGCAAACACCGCTTCATGTGGCTGCTAAACTTGGCTTTTTGCAAGCTATCGAGTATGTTTGTCTTATTGCTTGTCTCTCTTTTTCATCTTTAAAATAATAAAACAAAAGCGCTATTGTCGCTTTGTGATGTTTTAGTTTACTACAACACGAAGCACCATCAACACAGGATGCTGTATCAGTATTTGGAGAAAATCCGGCTCTCGTTGCTGCAGGTGAAGGACAGACGCTAAGTGTTGAATTATTGTTCAGTGGAAATTCAAAATATGCTTTAACTCGGGCACAACAACGAGACATCAATGGCACTACGGTTTTAATGGCTGCTGTTGCGCGAGGCAATAATGACTTGGCATTGTGGCTTTTGAGACGTTTCGGAAAGAAATTGGCAATGTTACCCAATAACTTCCGTATGCTACCACTGCATGTCGCTGCTGAAAAAGGTATTCAATATTATCTTTATAGATAACGTCTAATTTATTGCTAATAATACCTATTTGTCTGCTTTGTAATTGTTAGTATTAGTAACTGAGGTTTTCGAAGCATAATGAGCTTGATAAAAGAAGTGAAATAGCAGTTATTTTTCTATTACCAAATATTCTTAAAGAATCTTAGTTTTACAAGTAACCATCAACGTTTTAATGCCTTATAGCTTTATGGTAATGATTTTATTACGCATCGGATTATGTAACACAATAGCGTCAGATTTCTAACGTTTATAGAATATAGCTATCTAGGACGCATATTCTAGTCAATTTTATTCATTATATTTATCTTTAATTCCAACAATATACACATTCACATTAACAATTTTACACTTTATTTAAATATTAAATGATTGTAAACAAGTTCAAAAAATTTTTAGGCAATATTGAGTTTATTCGTAACGCAATCAAATATGATCGACGCATGGTTAATTTCAGAGATCAGTTCGGTAATCTTTGTCCTCCTGAATCTGCTTTTAAAAAAATTAGTACATGTATGTATATTTTTTCTAAATGAAAATAGTTATAACTGACACAAATAAAAATTCAAAACCAACTTATTACCATATCAATTAAAATAAATGAACATTGATTAGAGATTAGTGGCAGAAATCACAATAATTTAATACTACAGGTTGTACACCAGTCTTTTATGCAGTTCAAGGAGGATGTTTTAACTGTGTTAGACTTTTGATCGAGAAAGGTGGTGCAGATATTTGCATAGTATCAGATAAAGGACAGTCATTGCTGCATGTTGCATGTCTCGCTGGCCATGCGCACATTGTTCGATGGATTGTAAATCGTTCTGCAGCCAATGTTATTTTGTGGACAACGAAGGATGACGCTAATGCTATACATTGCGCCTCATGTAAACCTAAAATCATTAAATGAAAGCAATTCCATCAAAAAATTCTTCAAAAATAAAACCTGGATGATTTTGAAATAATGTGCGGAGAGAAAGAATATTTGTGAGAAAATTTCTTCCGACTATGAGTGACTGAAGGATACAACCTTATCTGTCAGCAGCCTTAAATTTTTTTGAATTGGTAATATCCAAGGTACCAATCCATCTGAAGAGAACAACCATCATCACATTTTGTGTGATGAGGGTTGTTTCTTTGAAAATTGAAAATAAGTGAAACTTTGATCAGTTATGTTATTTTTGTAAATAAATAAATAAAATAAATGGATAAATAATTAAGTAAAATAAATAAATAAATAAATAAATAAATAAATAAATAAATAAATATAAATATATATATATATATATATTCTCGAAAGGTGCTCTATTTTGATCATCACATGCGGAACTTAGCTTAGAATGATTCACCAAAAGATTTCACTTTCAACTGAATATTTAATTAAAAAGTGATCTTGCAGAGCAGTTTTTTTCCTTTAGATAGCGGAAGCGTTGCTGCACTATACATTTTACTTCATACCATTCCTCATAAACGTCGACGACGGATACTTGCATTGCGAGATTCACGTGGTAACACTCCGCTTCATCTTACGGCTATCAATAATCACATTGATGCCGCACAGTATTTGGCTAGTTTTAAAATCATTTTATAATCGTTTCTTTTGTTGTACTTTACGAAACGCATCTCCTAAAATACTCCATTTTGATGAATATAATTTGATATAATTTGATGCTCGGCATTATGAGCCTATTTTATTATATTTTATTATATCTGATGGGTGATAGCACTATTTGTAAAAAGTAGTGGAAATAATCCAACAGTCATAATTAAATATCAATAATTTCAATTCTATTTATCAATGATCAATAATTTTAGGACGATTTTTTTAGCTGGAAAATGGTGCTGAACCGCGATTGCTCAATAAAGGAGGACAAACAGCTGAAGCAATTGCTTGCATACGAAAAAATTATCAACTTGCGAGACTTCTATCTTACTGGAAAGGTATTTCGGTTTGAATTGTGCGAGAAGTTTTTAGATTTGTTGAACCAGATGGCAAGTTTATATAGCTCAAGTAATATCATTATATACATTCTAATTAAAAACAATGGAATAAGAAATCAATTGGTTTAAGAGCGAAAACAGAAGAAAAGAAAAGAATGGTTTCCATCGTGGGCGACGACCGATACACTGCACATGGACAATGTCTACTCGACCGATTATTGGAGTACCTCAAACCATACTATGCCGAATAGTTCAAGCCATATTATCCCAATCAATACTGCTACATCCCCATCATTACAACAAAACAATGCTTCAAAACATTCGTGGAAGAAATTCAATAAGGCCAATCCAGTGTAAGCCTAATGTTTGTTCTCGATTAATTTGAAACATATATATAAAAGAATGTCTGCAATAATAATTTTTCTTCTTGCATAATACTGCATTTGTTATAAAATAGTGAGGTGATAGTGAGTGAACTGCGCCCAATAACCTACGTCGCATCGGATGAAGGTGGTCGAATTTATGAGGATCATTCAATTCAAACCGACCGTGATTCCTTGCGAACTGCAACAAAGGTTACTGTTTTTCTATAATGAAACTTTTGGATTCTTGAGGTGGAATTATTTTCCTAATAAATTCTTAGAAGCTTAAGTGCCAAAAATGCCAACTGAAAGATAGCTTATTGTGAGTGACTTGCAATTAGCATTGGTTGCATTGCCACGCTTTCATTTAGCCGAGATCTCTCACGCTTTAGACTTTGAATGAACGCCATATATTTTACACATTAAAAAAACAGTACTGAAAATAACTGAACCATTTGTTGCAATGAAAGAGCTATCTATGCAGTTAGCATAAATCTTGTTTCCATTTTACAAACAAATAAGGAAAAATAGCGAGAGAGGGAGACTTTGACTGCTTAATAATCCAATGGGTGTTTCTAATCAGTTATCAGTGAAAATGTAAACAGAAATCATAGAGCAGATCCTGGATGAAGACGAATGGCGAGAAAGCCTGGCAGCAGTGGCACAAATTGACAGAGTCCTACAGGAAATCGACGCTTAAAAACAGTTGGTGATATTTAGTTCAGAAACTTGCTACTTGAAGTTTTCAACAGATCTTGAAAGGTTGGGAGTCGAGGTTTACCCCACAATGACAAAATGTATGCATCTACACCCTTTTTGGTCTTATTTTCTCGTTCGTTCCCTTCATTACTTGGCAACTTTCGAAAACATCGAAAAAATCCTGTCGGTAAACAATCATTAACCTTTGCTAAACTAATCCTTCAAGTTCAAGGCACTCATTAATATATCTCCAAATTTCACGGACTTTCGGGATGCAAATAAGATTTATGACTGCTTTCCCTCCTGTCTAACAAGTTTCGCAGGTTACTTTTCTATATTTATATCCTTCCCCAAGAGCCTTCGAATCCATTTGCTCAATTTATTTTCTTAAGTATTCTCTGTCTGCTGAATTTATTAATACCGTCCTGGTGCTCTATTTCATCTCTCATATTAAATAATCTTCACAGTAGCGTAATAAATGCTAGAAATTTTCAATAAGTTGTACTTCACTTACAGAACATTTATGGAAAGTGTATTTGTTACAATACATATTCTTTGCAGTACTGCCAAAATGGCTGATATTGTAACTATGTCAACTGTGTCTATGAAACATATTGATCCCTAAAACCGTAAAAACTGTATTAAAATGTACTTTTAGTGCCGCGTTTCATTGTTTATTTTTTCATCTAACAACTTATCCATTTCTTCGATTTTAGGATCCAAAGCAACTTTAACAAGCAAAAAATGATAAGACAGCAAAAGTTTAAGTACATTCGCCGTAGTTGTAAATACATTTAAGGTTCCCCATAAAAAAATTAAAGATCATGAATCACTTGTGACAAGTGTTCAAATGGTCACACAAATGTCAAATCATTTCATCCAGTAGGTCTTTTCCGTCAACTCCCCCTATACGGGAGGTCTTTTCAACATTTTGGTTATTCCTTTTATACCTCGTCTAACTTCCTTCCTTTCCGCTAAATGTTCCTTTTCTCTTCTTGCTAAACATTCCTTTTTTGCAGCCAACCCCAAGGTTTTCATTTTAAATGTCATTTTCAGCCCACCAAATGGTATGCACTGTTCACTTCCGCCCACATCTTCTGATGAATCCTTGCGTTTCATACCCATCGTTTCAACTTCCTCCTTAAAAAAATTCTCATTTAATTTTAATCCCATTTTAGATTATCCACTTCATCCGTTCCCTTGTTAACGAAAAAACTTCAATGCAAAGATGAGACCAACAGATTAAAAAAACAAAGACAGAGACAAGAATAAACCTGAGCAAAAAATGAAACCGCGCTTTCATCAGCCTTCTTTTGCTTTAAGCACTGTACAGTGTCTTCATCAATATCTGATTCGATTAAGTCAAAACCTTTTGGTTTCATAGTTTTCCACTTTTCTCGCACTGCCGATTGTATTTCTTCAACATCACTACCTTCCTCATTACGGATCATCTAAAAAATGCTTATTTTGGGGCAAAAGTTGCAAAAATCGATTAATTTGCTTAACGTGATAAACACTGAAAGGATGCTGATTCGCGATCTGCTTTATTAGAGATTTCTACCAGGTTCAACAGTACAGATTAAACAAACTTACAGATGGTTTTCCTACTGCATTATTTTCTTCATCTTTCTTGTCATCAACTTCAGTGAAACTTTCATCATCGCTCATCCTGCTAGCGCTGTTTGTACTTTCATAGATGTCTAGATCTTCTGTACTTTGCATTTCTGACTAAAAAAAATATATATATATATGGCATATTAGCCTCTAAGTAATAATTAACAAAAAGTAAGAGAAATACATGCCCGTTTATTGGATATTAAACCGTGATAAAACCTGCCTTGCAACAGCAAATGTGAGTTTAATTCTCGTTTATTCTGAATTATGTGAAATAAAGCACCGCTGAAAGTTGCAAATATGGAAGGACTAAATTAAATGTGCAAGTGCTTTAAGAGCACGTAAAGATAACCTTTTTGTTGTTATTGCTTGTACTACCAACATCTTTTTTCGACAATTTTTGTCGTTTCCCTCCTATCTTTTTCATAGCCGAGACAAGCAGTTGAAACTGCTCACTGCTTTCATCAACTTGAAAATCGGGGTTTGTAAACAGGGAGCCAAAACGTTCGTCTGATAGTATTGAAGTCGCATCCTTATCCTGAAAAAGACATCAGTGTTGCAGCAATACGGGCATAACTGTTCGATATTTTTTAAAAAAGCTAAAACAAAATATGCTTCCTTATTTTCCTGTATTTAACTAAGAAAACCTTTCTCTCTGTTCTTAAATTAACGTTTTTCATTTCTTCCATGGAAGCTAACAACTTCTCAGCCAGTTCTCTATTCACACTTGGTAATTTAGGCTTCCTTGACTTCCTGCTTGTAGTTAAGGAACGTTCTTCATCAATTTTTTCCATTATCTGCAAACATTAGAATAAAACTTGTAGACATAAACTCATATTTAACAACTGCGTTAAAATATTTAACTCCGCCTTATCAAGAACAAGAAAAAATAGTGAAGTGAATACCAAAAGTACATAGGCACTCAGATCTCCACCTTACCTTTCTCTGCTTATAATTTTCATAAGCCCATGGTTGCGTAAATGTCTTCGCTTTATTGTACAACCGAATATCAATGAAATATCCATGCATATATGCACGCAGAAGGCTAGTTCCAATAAGGTGTAACAGACCGATTTCTTCAAGCTGCTCTTTCGTCACAAACTTGTAATCATCATATACTAAAAAAAAAAACTTGCCAATAATGCCATCAATGGAAGTGGAGGGAGAAAGTATTACGGCAAAATCATACTGCAAACGCATTATAGAATTATGCAAAACGCAATAAGAGTTTTGAGAATGTCAAAAAATGACAGATATAGCATGAAAATAGTCAACCAGGGAAGTTACGTGAAATGACAACTTATATGTACCGGTAGGTTGTTCTGTTTCTTCTAGTTCTTCTGTGATCGTCTCAAGATATGAACACCATCTAGGAGCTGTACCAAGGGCAGGAACAAAATACTGTAGCATTTTAGGAGCTTCATTAGCAAAAAATAGAAGTCCTGAAGTTCATATACATTGGATTTTACGATAAAACAACAGTGCATAAAATTAGACATGGAATTGTTGCGGGAATTCATAAAAACGGTGCATTTATGTTAAAATTATTTACTTTCTGTTTACGTAAACAACTCACCAGAATCTGGAAATCGGCAGAAATCGCTTAGATTAGATCCAGGTTCGATTGCCGCGAACGGTTTACCATCAGTTTCTTCCCACATCTTTAATAAACGCATATCCATACTCAAAACAAGATTGTGCCCCGGTACAAAATCAATTTTGTTTACTGGCAAACCAGTTTGATGGTCCTTGATGAGCAGTGGTTTGTTAGATCGAATATCGAATAGTAAAACCTAGAAAGACGATGCAGATGCACAGAAATAGAAATTGACTGCGACATGCTGAATGAAAATAATTTCGAAAACCTACATGACCAGTACTCGTCCCGACTCCCAGATGAAGCGCATCTTTGAAACACACTGAAGTCACTATTGGCAACTCGCTGGAAAGATTTAGTATTCCGTGGAAGTGAATGGAAAGTGGCAATATAAATGAGATGAATTATTCGTTATAAAAAACAATCAATTAGTATAACAGAAAATCCATGTTGTTATACAATAGAAATGAAAATCGAAAAGCTTAAAATTGCCTGTTATTTGCATTAAAATGTAAAGCACAGTTAAGAATGCCACAACGATTCCCGTCCCTATGATCCCAAGCTTCAATTCGGCCATCATTCGTCCCACAAATAAACAAATGATGATCTCTGTTGAACTCACAACATGTCAGCGAGGAAGACGAAGTTATTAGAGGCGTCAAAAACTTTCCTTCTTCCATGTTTAGACGGAAAATTTCGCTGCTGCAATTGCAATAATTTTCACATTTAATATTAGCAGTTTTCCTTCTTCATAAATCATTTCAGTTTCCATATGAGTTTGCTTAGTCAATAAGCATTGATCGGTCATTCAAAAAAAGCAAACACGATTAATGAATCCATGAGAAGAAAAGAACATTATTTATTTTGTTAGAAAAGGATAAGAGTTAAGTAAGTTTACTATGTTCTTTTAAACCGTGCTGCGGAAGACAAGTAAACAAAAGCCTGAATCGTATATTTATCCCTTAAATGGAGAAACCAAATGCAGTGAAGGAAAAGGCATAACTGAATAAAATCACAAAAAAGAATAGTTTTACAACCTTCAAGATTTCAGTTTAATAAATTCCATATTTAGCCAAGAAATGACATTTTGGAAGCAAGGAAGTCGTAGCCTATGATGTGGCTTTTGCTGGATTTTACAAAAGATATTAGACAAATATCATTATAAAAAATATTGACAGAAAAACGTCCAACCAACTTACCCACTTCCTACAATGTAGAGATCACTCACTTCATGACAAAAAGCCATATCATGACCAAATTTGGGTATCCTCATCCTAAAATATCTTCCATAAGCCACATGCACCTCCACATACCGTTCTTCTTCCAGCAACACAAACTGAAAAAAAAAAGAAAAAAAAACGACATTCTCAGTAAGTCCAGCAAAAATGTCCACCGAATAGAATAACTTATGAAGCTTTTCCAATGAAATAAACTTGCTAACACGTCTTCATAACACTAAAAAACTGAACACAAGTGCTGATAAAATGAAAATGTTAAGGCAAGTTCGATCTTTTTCGATCGAACTACCACCACTACGACAATATCTTGTCTCTAATTCAGTTGTTTTATAGTTAACAAAATATGTCTAAAAATGTAGTCTACTTTACAATAATCATCGCTAAGAACAGCCATTTTCACAACATCCGCATCGAGACCACGCGAAAACTTTAGCGACAGATCATCAACATCAAAGCACTTCAGAAGCGGCCTGTAGGTACCTAAATACACAAACGATATGTAGAATCTTGAATTTGTGCGATCAACTGTATTTCTGGATCCATAACTTATATCATACCAGTTTTTAAATGTTTGGTACAGTTCACATAGTATGATTTCAGTAAAAGAAGATAAACATTAAAATTAGTAAGGAAGGTGTTCCTCTCGGTAATTTAAACTTCGTATGCAACTGAAAAGTGGCATTGATGGGGTAACGTTATTTAAAAATATTGCCAATTCAGTTGCTGAACATTCCACGGTTGTTGAAATATAACGTTATTTGTACTGCCAATATATAAAAAGAAAATTTAAAAAGTAGCATTATAAAGGTTGAACTTCATACCCGTTGCAAATATATAGCGTCCATCAGGGGATACCGTGACTGTATTGCTGATGTCGGGCATATCAAAATCCTGTATCAACTGTATTCTTCTTCTCAGATCTGTGAAAAAATTAGAGAATCAAAAGTTTCATGAACAGCTTAAAAATACTGAAAATGCAGAGAGTTTACAAAGCTGTGCAGAATTCACACCTATGTCATTTTGTTCCAATTTGCGCCTTTTCCGATCTGTTATCCATTCCGGTATTGATTTGCCGGCACTTAAATTGTAGATTTTGACGTCATTCGCAGAAAGGACTTGCATTTTGAATTAATATCTGGAAATACAGCAAAAATATTCAAGTCAAAGTAGCTATGTATATGCATATTGACAACAACCATAATTAGATTTAAGTTAATTGGCACAGAGATGCATGTCATTCCCAACTACTTCCTAGTTAATTTTTGTCTATTTTTGTGTAGGTTAAACCTGCTTACTACTAAGCATAAAGTCTGACCCACCCAACCCATCACCAGTCAGAAAAACCACCAAAAGATCTGTAGAGGTGAAGACACAAGCTACACCAACAATAGGACGAACCCTCAAATTACTCACTTGGGGGCGTGGATGGGGGTCCAATACGGTTCGGCCAAAGCACCGTGAAAGGAAAGTGGGGGGGGGGCGAAGTCACGACTTTGAAATTTTAAAAAGAAAAGTCTTTAAATAACCAAAATTGAAGAGAAGACGAATAAGTGCGTTTTATGCTGTCAGTGATATTTTTTTCAGCTGACTATTTTGCTATACCTTATTATCACATAGTCTCCATCATTCCCACACATTAGTGAACTAATGAGAGTCGATTTTGTCGATTAATAACATAAATCACTAGCCATTTATGATGACTAATGCCAGCCAGCGGAAATAATTTCATTCCAGGTGATATCTACCATTTACAGCATTCTCAGAATCACTGACAGTTATGCTGCTTGTGATGTGGACCGTCACCATCTTGCAAACTTGATGGAAAGCTTGGTGATATGGCACAGTTAAAATAAGTTAAAGATTCAATGAATATATAATGGTAGGAATATATAATATTCATAACCATCTAAAATGTCAAGAAAAATGCTTAATGAACTGTGGGACAAGAAAAAATTCGACCTTCATCTTCGTATACAAGTGATGTTTGTCGCTTGTGCAAATTAATTTCTAACGAAGCACACACGTCAGTTAACATGGTGTTTAATCTTGAGTGAAAGCAACATCATGTTCCTGAATGGACAGGAAGACTTCTGAAAGATACATATGAAGTTTTTGAAGGACTTATGACGAAAGTAACCTTATCACCAAAAAATTAGATAAGATAATCGCAGTATTTTCAAGATCGCTTATAGTTTGTTCTGGTAAGCTCCTCACATTCGTTTCCTCTCAATTCTCATAGCTTTAAAATAATTCATGCGCTTCAAAAATCCAATCTGAGCGTTTTATCTCACGGTGAACTGTGTCAATATACTGGTGTTGCATATGTCGGTTATATTCTCCTCATGCCTCTACTCAGTACTTCGACGCTCAGACTTGCTGTTCTACGGAATGTAATCATAGGATACTGAAATGCTATGGTAAAACCCACTAAAGCCTACTATTCAAGTGGACTAATGAGGGACAACAGAAGTGAAGAACAGTTAACTTCCTCAGAAATCCGCTGTTGATATCTCCTTCAAAACTAAAATGTTCGAAAATGTGAAAGAGTCTAACAACTAAGGATCACAAGCGTGATCCGCATCTAACTGAGTATCGCTGGCGTAACTCAAGTCTAATAATTGAGTATCGCCGAGTCGCGTCTGATAACTGAGTATCGCAATCCAAAAATACAAAATCGATTATTAGGAAATTTCTGGAAGCTGCTGAGAATACTGTAAGTGCGAACGCGATGTAGTTAGCGGGAAGGTATGGTGTTCGCGGACGCTGATCCAGCAAGCTTTCGCATTATAATGATTCATTCTCAATCGATATTCAAATTTTATTTCAGATTGTTTTAGACTGAACGTTTTCTTACTGCGAGTTCATTATTTGGCAAGTGTAAGCTCTGTGCGGTCCAGTCATTTACTGCTTTGGATTTTCGAGAGTTTCTGGGTACGCCTTCGTTTGTTGATAATATTTTTTCACGAGTCAAAGTTTTTTCAAAGCCTTCAGAGATCTTAAATTTTTTTGAAGAAGTTTTAAGTTCCCAAAGTGCTTTTTTAGTTCTTTTTTTCGTTCTCGAGAAGGTTGTAAGCATGCACAATGATATGAAGGTATATGCACAGAAAAAAGAAATTTCCATTTGAAAACTTTTAGTATAAGAGCTAAAAGACAATGTGTAATTTGATTTTTGCTCGATTTAAAAATTGAATTGGTGAAGTGGATAGAAAGCGATTTTTTAAATATATTATCTCCCGCACCTGGAAATCCATTAAGATGGATAGGTTTATGACCATACCAACAATTTCGTTTCACCGGTTATGTGAGGTTCACTTTGGAACCAACACAGCGTATTGTTAGTGATGAGATTTTTTGAAACGAAACGGACTTGGAATACAGGGTCGAATACGTGAGAACGGAAGATTGATTTAGTCGGCGTAACTAAACGGAGAGAGTATGACAGATCAGTGAAGAACTTCAGTTTTGATTCCGTTTTAAAACACGAGAGTAAAGGACTACTACACCTCCAAAGGCAATTCATCATCCGTTTGCGTCGCAGTGGTTCACTGGACATGACCAAGTGTCAGCGTACTGACGAAGATTTACGATATTAGCTTTCCAAGTATTTTTCAAGCTTTAGCAGCTTAGTCTTAAGACAATCGAGATCCTCTCAGAGTAATTATCTGAAAACACGGTAAGATACTGCTAAAACAGCCACTGACCACAGCTTTCAGGTTCGAAAGTGTAACTTTTCAAGTTAGGGATCACTTCCTTTAAGTACAGTGAACAGTCAAAAGTCATAGAGGAACACTGGGTTGCACTTAACCCACACTTGACCAGCATATGATTCTCATCCAGTTCTCATTATCATCGTTCGTAAGTTCAATCATCGAGAAATCATGGAAATAATTCTTCCTGTTTGTATTCATTTTAGACATAAATCTTCCTGTATTCATCTTGTATTCATTTCAGACTATTTTTACGACTATTTTGCTATTTCTATTTTTACGACTATTTCAGACTATTTTGGAGCATACTCTGAAATTCTTTCTCTCTTTTGCTCTTTCCCTTTCTCCTCAAACGTACAACGGCCACATGAGCTATCGTAGGATCGATGCCCGTTATAGGCTCGTCCACTTGCTCTTCCAATTCCACCGATTTGAATAAGCGCTGCGAAACCTCACATATCTGGTCCCAAACAGAAGTATACTGTTATTTTTGGCGGTATGCCAAAGACGTCGGGTGTAGATAAGTTTTTTGTGTGTTGGTATACAAGTTAGGTGACGTACGCGAGTGGAAATGGAGGAGGAAAAGGAGTGATTCTACAAAGGAGAATTATTCTTTATCGTAACTTTGTAGAGTTTCAGTTAGATTGGTTCCTGAAGGACTGCATTACTTAAATGGGATGTGTTTTGTGATTTCCAAGTTTCCTGCTGAATGAGCTTATGTTGACCCTTCGCTGTTTTTATTTCAGTTCAAGATGATGCTTATCTTCAGATGGCAATTTTTATTACATTTTGGTGGTATTCTAAACCATTATTGAGCTTATAACGGCAGTATTCTTATAAAATTTAGAATTAGAGCTTCGTGGGTAAACTTTATTGGAAAGCGCATTCATGTCTGATACCATCAAGAAAAAGGAGGCTCACATGGAAGAACATCATTATGCAGAGGAAGCATGGAAAGCTGGTGGGTCTTGTTCTTTATGATCTTAACTCCATACGTATTACATCAACATATTCAACTTTGTAATTTTCAGATAATAAGAATTCTTCGGGTAACAGACAGACAGCGACTCGAGGCTCAGGAACATCGCAGCAGACTTTACAAACATCCGCAGACAATACGAATAAGTTAGTGTTCTGTCCACCATTGGTTGTCTCGTTTCGTAAAAAAATGCATTCGCAATACTATCCTTTGACTTTTAGAAAATTTGGATTTAATAACAATTATCACTATTTCTTTCTAATTTGGATGTATTTGCGTGTCGTAAAACTTCCCTTTGGCATGGCATACACAGATAATCCTTGATTATGATTGCAAAACTTTAGTGGTGTAGACTACTACTTCACGTTGCTCAGAAAATTGCGGTTAGCTAACAATAATAATGTTAAAATCTGAATTGGTCCAGTTTTTCTTCGCATTTCTGTGTTATAGCAATGATTCTCATAGTTAATTTTGGTTTTTCCGTTCATACCGTGTATGATAAACTAATTTGTAATTTCTGTTTTGTTTGTTCTATCATTTTTTTTTTTTGTTCAGTTTTTGCTGGAATAATTTTTCACTTCTTTGGCTGAATTTGGGCCCTTTTTAATTCATGACATTCAGTGCTACGAAGACATCTGTTTATATTAAAAGCTATAAAAAGTTGAATTTTCTGCTTCAGGGATGAAAATGGAGACGGAAATGGTTCTTTATTGAAAAAAGTTATTATTGACGACGAAGGCGACCCAAAAGAAAGTGATAATAGCATTGAAGATGCAATTATTGGTTTATCATATCAGGTGTGAATATAGTTAGTTGAGTGCTATGGATGGAAATTCGTCAGGTTACAGCAGTATGTTAGCAAAGGCAGATTTTACTAGTTAACAAGTATTTCATTCCAATAATTAATGAGCCATACTGCATTTTTTTTGATTTTGCTGTTGCTGTGCAACGTGCAGTGATAGGCTAAGTTCGAACGGAGAACTCTGTTATCCAAGTTAACAAATTATTAGAGCCAGTATCCGTCGATGAAATGAATTTAAAAAAGAGTACTGTAAATAAATGCGCTCGATATTGAAATAGAACAGTAGGAACGTGCTGATGTCCAGACATTGTCTGTTTCTTGCTGTTATCTAGTAAGAAATCTTTTTTTACAGAGATTCTTTCTTATTAGCCCACTGCAATTAGCACTCTATAGATTTATTTTATCTGAAACATACAAACAGGATCATAATTATGGAAGACGATCTGAAAGTGCACAGAAAAATGATGGGGAAAATGGAGAAAAATTTCCTATCATTGGTGGACTTGCTTCTTACATCGGTATATTCAGAATCCTTTCATACTTGTCATAGATTTTCTCAGGCAGCGGCATTGATTTATCCTGTTAGCGTAAATATTCAGGTAGATGATAATGCTTCATTTAGGAGATGAAGTCAGTAAAATTCCTATAGGCCATCACTCTCGGGATGCAAATTCGGAACATTTTTCAAGGTAAAACACTTTCATCTTTTTCTTCAAAGTCAGTTAAATGGATTTCAGGCTCATTCAAAGAGTACTTTGAATTCAAAATTCCCTAGCGAATAGGTTTGTTCAACAATGCTAAACTGTTATTGGTTCTGTAAAGCATTGAACAGTTAAACTGTTAAATGTTATTGATTCAAATTTTTATATGAACTATATCATTTCTTTAGACCACAGAGTTATGGAACGCATTATCGAAAGGTCTCAGAAATGGATTCACGCACACCATGTAGAATATATTCTGCTGCTGTGGGTGGATGTCGAGCAAATCATATGCGAAGGCATGTTTTGCAAATATGCAACATGAGTGATTTTTGTCTTTCTATGCGATTGTATGGTCTTATTTGCAGTTCTGTGTGTTTCATTAGTCAATACAAAAGCTGGTTTAAATCCTTGACCATGTAAGCTTATCAAAGTCAGTACTTTGGCTTTTAGTTATTGCTGTTAAGGTTGCCAGTTTCGTCCAGTGGACAAATATTTTCCCGGCAAACTCCTATTACGGCTACTCAGAATTACCGTACTCCTCGTCGAGGTTGGTTTTCGTTTAGTTTATCTTAGAATTAAGGATTTGTTAGAGAATGTCTTGAACTTAAAATCATTATCTCGACTTAATCTAAAAATATTTGATGTTTACAAAAGTAGAAGTAGTACCGACGAAGTCTTATCTTTTCTTTATTTTACTGTAAGTATATCATAGTGTTTCGTCACCTTATGATAGTATGAATATCTTAATCATAAGAATTCAAACGCGTAAACACAATTTTTTATATCTAAACAGCAGTATTATATGTTATAATTTAGCAATTATATGTTATAATTTAGCAATGTTTTGCATCATAATTTATTTACTTTTGATATTTGTGGTTCATACAATTGCAATGTTTTGTATGATTAAATCGAAAATCTTTGTAATATTTTTAAGGTGTAGGAGTGACTCAGATATCGGCTAATAATCAAAGTGATGTATTATTCCGTTCACGTCATTTTATCAGTTCCGGTGGAGCATTTGCAACATCAGCACTAGCGAACAAAAGAATCGTTCGACCAGCGTAATTAATTAGCATTTGTCTTCGTTTCTTTTTAGAATATTCCAAGTTTTTCGAACTGAGGAAACCAGTAGTAAATCTCATAGTAAACTTATTTCTGCATAACATCGCTAAAGTCGGTTAAAAATACTGGCACATATTTAGGCATCCTCCAACTCCTCCAGTATCAGCTTGTCGTCAAGGCACACGTCAAATAATTCCTGCTAGCAAATCGATTTCGGCAACAATGCCTGCTTATGCGACAGCAGTTAATACAACAGGCGCTGATTCCGAAACAAATGTCACAGATATGAGTGTTGGTTTGGCGCCGTTTCTTGTACCATCTCGACGGCCCCGTCCGGTTGTCCGAAACCGAGGTGATATTTTTAGCTAGGAAAATTAACTTTTACCTTTGAAGACTTTGTGACCATATTGTTGTTGGCCAAGAATATTTGCACCAAATGTGGCAAAATCAGGCAGGGAATTGTCCAAAACACTGCACTTTCATATATATCAAAGCACTAATTATTATCAAAGCATTATCAGAGCACTAATTCACTGCGACTGTGAAATCAGTATGATCGTCTCTTATCTTAATATGAAGCGCTGAATTATTGCATTGATACATTTTGAACCTGAATCTACAATCCTAAAGGGATGATATATTTAGGCGATTGAGTTGTTCTCTTCAATTCGCCTGGTAATATATTCTTATGAGGGCTTCGAAATGAATTCTTAAATATAAGGCTTAAACGTATTTGTTATAGCGCGGGCATCACGTGAGCCAGATAAAGGAACAGAATTGTTAGTGCAGAAGCCCATTGTCAATGACCTTCAGGTGAAATTGATTTTGAAACTTCTCGCTGTACAATACTTGATCGTAGCGATGAATATCGTATACTAGCAACAATTGTTCAGATAGACAATACTGTTAACGCTGAAGAACAATCTAACATCATTATTGCTCCTCGACAACGTCTTCCGAAAAATATAGCTCGTAATAGTAGAGTTGTGAAACACCAGTATATCATGGCAGAACCTCTTGAACCTTGTCATGTTCCTCGTCTTGAGCATACTGCTGTACAGGTTGAACTTATATTTAGTTTTTTGAATTCAGTGTTTTTTAGTCGACTAGTCTAAAAATTTTACAATCATAGAGGAATTTGCCTTACAAGCTTTCATGGAATTCCGAAATCCTTCTGTCGCTTTAACGTTTATCAGCAGACAGTGATACGGAAATGTTACATAGCTGGTAATTTGGCAGAATTCAGTTTGTTATTTAACTAATTTCTGTAGAGATCATCGGATAATAGTATTCTATGATAAATAAGAAATGCTCTGTTTCCTAGCCTGTTTTGGAAGATATCAGTTCGTATTTTGGATTATTAAGCTGTCAAATAATTACTGAGAATGTGGAACGAATTATTTTTTATAGTGTGCACTCCCAAGTGTTGATCCAGTGGTAAGCATGGTTGTGGATGGAAAGTTGTCATCAAAAAGTCTTCGAAGTTCTTCTCCGGTAGTTCACTGCACAGAAGAGCAGGAAGCATCTTCGCAGGTAGTTGATAAATTGACACCTCAAAACTTATGCTTTTTACGACACCATAATCTTGTTAATTGCTAATTGCGGGTGTCGTATTTCTATATTCCTTTCTCTTTATGCGTAACACTCGTTATCCTCCTGCTTTTTATTCCTTTCTACATGAAGTTGTTGTAAGTAGTTGAAGCAACGAAATTTTTTATTTCAAATTCTGGATTTTATGATGATGATAAGGAATCTAAGAAATTCATTACCTTTTCGAACTGAGTTTTTAATCTGCAAAGGATTCCAGTCCAAGAAAAGTTTTATGATTTTGCATTTTAGCGTAACAAAACAGTTTTACTATGCTCTTTCCTGCCTATCGCTCCTGTATGAGTATGTCCGTAAACCTTATTTTTGAAACTATTCATATTTATAAGCAGCGTTGAAGCAAATGAAAATGATGAAGTTTAGTCTAGGAAAACTGATTCTGCTTTTTTTTTTTATTCCAGAGTTTTTCTGCTGATTCTCATGAACTGATTCATATCGGTAATGAGGGCAGAATACATGATCCTCAACAAATCGCTCAAGCTTGTACAGCGTTTTCTCATCGTTCGCAGCAGGATATCACAAAACATGTTGAGGAGCATTATCGAAAGTTCCGGAAGGTTGTTTTATTGTGGGATTATGTGGATTTCAGAACATTAGGTTGTTGCGTCGTATTTTATGTTGCGCCGCTGTAGGAATACCACCTATTTTCACATCGGACTGAATCTGATATTTATTGAAGAAATATGAGCTTTTATTGTAGGAATCATTCGTTGCTAATTCTCGTCAGCTTCTTACTCGACAACTCGACGAACTCCAGATGCGACAAGTTATTTTTTTTTTTTCACTCTGTGATTTGATTACTTTTCAAAGCGCTGACTTATGTTGTAATTTTTTTCGTTTGTAGTCTCCAATTCGTCATCCTGAAAGCGCCGTTTTCGACACTTCGAAAAAAGTGGAGATGGATCATGTCGCGGAGCAGTCTGTGGCGCAACCTATAATAAGCGTTTCGGTAACGAGTCTCTCTAAAGAACTTCCAGAGGTCTTTATACCCATAAAATTATTAAATAAAATATGACTTGAAATTTCTGTTTACATCGGATCGATTGCACAGTCCTCTATTAAAATTGAAATAACTCTGGTTGTTTTGGTGGAAGTTGTAACATAGTTTAAGTTCTCTTCGCTCTTTAAATTTATTATTGCGCAGTTGTTTTTTACTTGTTTCGCTCACTTGTGCGATGTGAAATTCAGGGAATCGGTCTTCATCGGCAGCAACCAATATCGCCTGGACATGTTGCCAGTGTTTATTCCTGCACTGCTTCTCCACTTGGTCAGGATCGTGAGTTTGATTCAGGACAGCAAAAGATAATGCAGCTAACATCGGTTGAAACAGAAATGCCCGTATTGCCGACCAAAGACATGGCAGCAAGTGATAATATTCCAGCGGCACTTGACGGTGCAGGTATTCTTTAACTTCTCTCAGTTATATTCTTTTCGGCGTTCATCAATCTGGAATGGATTGTGGGACATGATCGGAATTTTATCTTTTGAACTTGGGGGACGGTGTAGTTTGATATTTTTTCAGTGATTTTGAAAAAAAGTGATCATAAAGCTCCCTCGGTGGAAGATATGTCGAATAGAGAAGAACCACCTATTTTTAATGAAACATGTAATGAGGCTTTGGAACAGCGAGTTTCTGTTGCGACGCATTCATCGATTAGCGGAGCTGAGGAGGAAACGAGCGTAAATGGTGTGGTTAAAACCGTTCATTTTATGTACATGATAAATTATATCCAGTTATGGAATCTAAATATTAATAATGTAAATTTTTTATACGGTGTTATATCTCACCCAGTAGTTTTACAGGTAATGATGATGAAAAACAAACGGAAGATGAAGCTGGTCGAATCGGCCAAGCAGCTGCAAGTGTAAATTCGCCATCAAACAGCAACAGTGAAGATGATTGGGAAGAAGAATACACGACACGTTGTTATTGTGGCTTGAATCATAACGACGAATTCATGATACAATGTGATATGTGCAAGTAACTTTTATGGAAAGTCTGCTTTGGTAACATCGTCATCTGTGAATTGGCATTGTCCTCAAATTACATCTTAAGGAAATCTCTTGTTTCTGGAAAGAAATGATTTCAAATGATATATTGCTAACCTAAAATCTGAAAAGGAAGGTGCTGCAAAAGCCTATGTACGTTTCAGTGTATGGCAACATGGCAAGTGTATGGACATTGATCGACGTCGAGTGCCAGATACTTACCAGTGTGAAGAATGTAATCCACGTCAGTTGAAACTTAGCAAAACTCAGGCACGAGAGATGCAATTGAAAGTGCTTGCTCGACAGCGCAGAGAAAAGGAAAAGAAACGTCGCCAAAGAGCTAAAGGACCTTTTAAAAAGAGAATTGGGGGAAAATCAGTAGGTTTGAAAGTCATTATTAGTTTTAATCTTTTAATCATGGTAACTTATATTTACGTGTAGTTACAGTTAGTTGTCCAAGCCTATTTAAGTGAGATGGGATGTTAGAGATATTAAAATATAAGGTGCACGGACCGAAATTTATGAGGTGTGACTCAAATTATGAAAGGTTACATCATCTGTAGAATTCTTAGGAAGAAACGAAGAAAAGACAAGCAAGAGGAAATTTATCGAAAGATTTCGTCGAATGTTTCAAATATGAATATACAAGATCTGTCATGGCATTTTCACGCAAACACGAAGACACGGTAGATACTAGTTATCATTTTGTTAGCTAATGCATTTAGATATCTCAGCGTCTTTATTTCGTGAAATTTTATCTGAAAATTAGTTCTCTTGGAATGAATTCAACACGACTGCGGAGCATGAAAGGCAATTTGATCTTATATTTAGGCTTATATCATATTCAGGGTGATCCTGCGGTATTGGAAGCATTGCAAAACGACGATGGTGTGAGTGTTATGTACGTTACACAGGTGTCCATGGGACTGGTTTCGACACGGCCATACCATGGTGATGAACCAGTAATATATATTTGTGGGCGTGTGTCGCTTCCCCACGAATGTCGTGGTCGAGAAGAGCCAGGATCAATCATTCCTTTTGTTGTTTTGTATAGGTAGATTTTTCTGTTTATGTTTTATGATGGAGCTATGAAAAGGAGATCATTGGGTATTCTGAGATAGTTTTCGGTAGAAATATTAATGTATTCGGGGAAAGGAGCTAAGCGGTAGAATTGTATTGTTTTGGATTTATTCCATCATATACCTGGTATTTTGATAAGGCCTGGAAATATTTCTTACTGATTTTTAGTGACCTAACGGTTGAGGAAAACAGAGAACCTACACCAGTTTGTATTGATGCTCGTCGGTTCGGTTCGAAAGCACGATTTGCTCGCGCATCCTGCCGACCAAACATTAAGTTGCAACATTTCTTTTTAAAAGGCAAGCTGCATATCATCGGTATTGCTGCGGAAAATATCGAACGTGGTGAAGAGGTTGTTATTTACGTTATTTGGTTATGAATTTGTTTTGGATTTTCAAGCAGTTTTTGCATTGTTTAATAGACGAACAAACTAATGTATTCCTATTTCCTATTCTACGGAAGCTATTAGGGATGGGAACCATTCAGGCAAAAGAAATCAAATTGGTATGATTTCATTGTTATATTTTGTTTAATTTAGATTACTCTTCCATTTGATGCCGATTACTTCATGTCAAAAACGAAACATGTTTGCGCGTGTTCAGCAGATGACGAGGATGATGGCACTGTGGATTGTTTGATCCGTAACTTTAATCGATCGCTTGAACAGAAACAAAATCGAGTCAGCGCTGCGGTTGGTACAACTGTTGTTGGTCATTTAAGTAATAGAAGAAACGATAAAAATTATCTGAATTTTTTCTCTTGTGCTTGGACTTGTAAAGCTGCGAGATATATTGCCTAGAAATATGGTGGGGAGTGTTTCAGCTATTTTATTAAAATTTGCAGGCTCTAAACACAATTTCGAATCCAGCGGTAAATGTTATTTCGAAAGATCATGCCAATAAGCAGTGTATGGAAATGAAGGTTAAAAAAGTGCAGACGAATATGAAGTCTAAAAATATTACGAGTGGATCTCGATATTCTCCAATAACATATTCATCGAAAGCGACTGCATCTGATTATAGCGATGAAGTGAATACAGTCGGAAAAATTGAAACAGCAACAGCTGTAACACCTACTACAGAAGATGAAAATGCACTTAATAAGAATGTATTACCAGACAGCTCTTCAGAGATGTGCGTATTTTGCTAAGGAGGTTTCCAAATATCCATTATTTGATAAGGCACCAAAAGGTGCTGCTATGTGAGTGAATTATTTCTCAAAGAAATGTAGGTTGGATATGTGTAATTTGTTGGATGAAAGATAATTATGAAAAAAATGTTGATTTTATTTCTGCATTGCAGGCAGTCCCGTACTCGAACTATTGCAAGTGGTTTTTCAAGAAAAGCTCGGAGTAAGCTATCGAAGATATCCCTCAGCTCTCCACCAAATAGAAAAAAAGGCGGCATCAAATTACGCTATCGTGGAGCAGCTAGTTGTAGAACTATCGAAACAAGACAAGAAGCAAGCACAAATCAGTGTGGAAGTTCCGTTATCCCACCAAAGGCGGAAACGTTTGTTGTTTCTCTAAGAAAAGCTGTTACTAATTTGCTGTGCAAAATTATTTTGCATCCATAAATTGATCTCTGATTGCAATTCGATTGCTGAATTTAGCTTATTGTTTGTATGAAAGTTTTAAGTTCTAGATTTTTTTTTCAGTGAAATTATTTATATCATCAAGGACACAGCGGATGCCGATAGCTCACTGGAAAAAGTGGCATGTCCACTTATTGACGAAACAAGCGTGCAGACGGAGGTATTTCCTCTTATTTCGGTTGTACGATATCATCAATAACGTTTGAAGTTTCTTGAAGATGATGTAGTAACGTATTTTTTTCAGGAGCAGAATGAGAAGCGGCACGTTGCATCAAATAAAGAGTGCGATATTGCATCCGTAGAAGAGAATAAGGTTATGACGGAAAAATTGAGAACACATACAGAAATAATTGAAGATGTGCAAAAAGCAGATGCGGTACCAGTTGCTGTGAAGAATGCTGGCAGACCTAGAAAGAAACGACGAACTTCTGTTGGTGCGAGAGTAATTAATGCAGTTGATTGGACAGGGAAAAGTGAAGCAAATGAACACTTGGTCGCTTCGAAGAGTTCAACGAAGAAGATACATCATAAAAGAAGTGGCCTGGTGGAAGAGGTTGAAAGCGTGAACTATATGCTTCCCGAGGAGCGCAATAAAGCAATGGCAAGTTTTTTATTATGACTTGTGTCATATGGTTGCTATTGTAGTATGTTGGACTCGTTTTTTAAGTTTTTTAGCGACAACTTTTCGATTGTTCCAGTCTCGAGAAGAACGTAAGGTACTGCAAGAGCTCGCACTGTTCGAACGTATGCACCAACGTGAGGCAAAACGGCAGCAGCATGTACTCTCTACGCGTGGATCGGCAAGTATTGGGAGCGCTTGCTCTCGTACTTCATCTATCATTGGCCCACCACACCCACCATCTGAGTTTAAAAAAGTTGCGAAGATTGCAGAGAGTGTAAATGATGGAAGAAACACACGAAGCCGACAACGAAACCAGTGAGTTTTATATCAAACCAGTGCTTGTGTTATTCAATACTATCTATCCAGAGTCATTGTATGAATGAAAACATTATGCAGGAATGGCACAAAATCGAAAAAACCGAAAGGCCGACAGCGCGTATCAACCTCGGAATGCCCTTCAGCAGTTGCGATTAAACGAAGTCGTACGATGAGCGAAGGTGCAAAATCGAGAGAGAAATCCGAAACAGAGCATGGTTTGTCTGTTCTACTATTTAATTCGACATTGTGTGTGGGCAAGAGTTACATCCATGGTAGTTGCACAGAGCTTGCACAGTTATAACTAAACAGGAAAATTGGGGTGAGATATGAACTGTAAACCCATCAATATTATTAGCGTGTTTTTTTATCATCTATTAAGGAAACGGACCATCATAGTAGGTCATTTACTTATTTTTCTTCAATCTTATGCCGTGTTTCACTGCAGATATAAACGACATCATTAAAAAGGCAGTATCATTTTCACCTTTTGCTCAGAGCATCACTGGAGCGAAGACAGAATTCAAAATAAAAGGAAACGTAGAAGGTATGAAGATCTTGTCTGTGTTGATAGTTAATATCTAAGGCATATATTCTTGATTATAAGAAATTTAAATAAAGAGAATACATTCCTTGTTTTTACTTCTAGTTTCTTCCTTTGTCGAGTAACTTTTTGTGATTGAATCAGTGTTTTCACGATTTACGAGTTAAAAATAATTGCAGAAAACCATCTTTCCATTAACTGCAATATGCAGTAAGTGTTCGTTTGTAGAAAATTTTGAATTTTTTCATTGTTTTCGAAGTCTAACCCATCCTTTCATAATCTGAAATGAAACATCAGAAACAAGAGGTAAGTTTTTGTTTGAGATGAGATTTATAAATTGGTTTTTGTAAGTCTGGAATCCTAGGAAATGTTTTAAGCATTTCAAACTACAGGTGTAACTAGAAAGGTAGAACCACAAGAATTGGAAGCGTCCACTGATAATGCTGCTTTCATTTGCAAAGATTCTTTTCTGCCATGTGCAAAGCGAGGAATCCAAAACATAGATTCAATTCAGCACGACGACAGTACGATCACTTGCTTTTCCAAGGAGGAGCATATGAAAAACGAGGTTGGCATTAATTTTGTTGTAACTTTATTACGGTAGTGCTTGTTGAGTTTTTTTTCTTTTTTAGTGTAATAAGAAGATAAAATTTTTTTTAGGTAGAACCGTTGCCGAAAAAAATGCGTGAAAGTCATGGTACATATAATAGAAGTGAATCAGGTATGCCAGGGAAAGCTTTTGTTTCGTCATTTGTTGTTAAATCAGGCAAATTATTCATGTACTTCATTTTACAAAAATATATTTCACGTCTCATTGGCTGTTTTTGCGATGGAAGATTCAACATTACAAATTTTCGATGAAATTAGCTTTCAGCATAATTGTCCTTTTTTGAGGTGAAGTTATATATTTGATTTATTATAGAAGAAATTCGTGCATTCTTCCGTAAGATGATTGAAATTGAGGCTACTTGTGAACCATCGGACTTCTCATTGGATTTTCAAGTGTTTGAGGGAGTTCAGATTCCCTTGAATTCTTTGCATACCGCATGTGGTAAAAATCAAATGAATGTTGTGGAAGCTCCTAAGAAAAAGATGTCATTAGACGAATATAAAAGAAGAAAGAGCTCGAAAACCACCGTAGATTCGGAGAAGTAAATTCTTTTGCATTAAGAAATGACAATTTTGAAGGGCCAGCGGTGCTGATTAAAGCTGTTTTAGATAAGGAAATGGAATTTTCAGTTGTCTGTATGTGTCTGCGCACCATTTTTTTTAACTTTCAAAAAAAATATGTGTGTGCATTTTTTTTACTTTTAGATGTAGGAAAAATAACTTATCTTGGATTAGATGTGGTATCTCTCTCACATTAGCTATCGTAAATTAGTGCAATTTGTTTCTCTATAACAAAAAAGTAAATTTCACTCAACTTGTGAATTCCAAGCAATTTACACTTCTTAATTTGTTGGAGATAATGATTCTCAAGATCTGATGGTTTTTTCTCTCAGCTGTTCTTTCAGCTAATTTGTTTGCTTTCTAAAGATTTTTTGTTTGAGTCAAAAGATTTTTGTGAGTACAACACGTTAGTGTAACTTAATTCTGTAGGACATCTGCGATTGTTGTCGAAAAGAGGGCAGAAGACAGTGAGCACAAACAGATACCATTATCCCGTTCTTTTATTCCGCTAATGAGTGCCAGTGGAAGTGCAGGGAAGCGCACATCACTTCGTCTTGGTGCTCTTCCTGATCCCGTACAGCTGCGCGCAACTCCAACACTTTCAATTGATGACCTGAAACGTCGTATTTATCGGCGAACGACATCTTCAGCTACACTAACCTCGAATACTGATGGTATTTCACCTCCCTTCATGGTGCAGAAGAATGCTTCACATAACTCACCAGGACAGCGCTCTGAGGTGAGTGATATATTATGATGAGACATTCTGTGAGAGTTAGACATTAAACTGACGTATTCTGTGAATCGAGTAGTGCTTTGTTTTTTTTTCTCTACTTTTCGGTACTTTTCGCCACGTACTGCTTATGCTACGCCTTGGTTTAGCGGCGTCATTTTGCTCATAATAACTGATCATCACTCATTGTTCAAAAACTATTTAATATTTAAAAAAATGATTCTGTGTTCTTCAAAAAAATACCAAATTTATTTAGTAAAGCTAGGAGATCAGGACCTTGCAGGTCGGTAGACTTGTTCATGAAAGCATGTAGAAAAAGTAGCGGATTTCCCGTTTTCAGGCAATGCACATTTTTTTTGGTTTCTTCTCTCATTTAAAATGTTTACGTATCATTTTTGTGTCTATGGAACCGTTGTTTAGTGATCTTAGCTTTGGCACACCTGGAGTTGGTTACATTGTTGGACTGTGATTTCTTTGAAACTTCTTTCTCTGCTTGTAGTCAAACTACAAGAATGCTTTATTCAGAAACTTTGAATTAGTTGTTGGCCAAAAAAGTTACACTAATGCTAATTACTCCGCTGCAACCTTCCGTATATTGTTTATATTTAAATGCTCTGAATTCCAAAGCGTTGAGTACAGTTTTATCACGTCTGTATTTGCCAATAATATATCGATTACTTTTCTCATTCATTTTACTTTCGATTTCCTAATTTGTATGAAGATTTCAGGAAGGACCACATTCATTCGCACCCTTGTCCTCGTCATCGTCATGGCGAAGAGAACCACCTTCAACAGTATCTTCCAATAAAGACAAGAGGCTCCCGCTCGAAGAGCGATTACGCTTGTTACTTGGCTGTGGTGAAGGGTATGCGGATAGGTACAGTTCATCTGTATCTCCACCAGCTATTCCTCCACCACCTCCACCGCCTCCCCCTCCTCTTCCTATCAAGAATCCAGGTCATTCGAATTTTTCGAATTTTGTGGTTACGCGTGCAAAAGTTTCATCTAGTTGTGCGATAATTCGATGACTTTGCACATTTAATTGTTTTAGTTTTTTATCATACATTAATGGATTATTTATATTTTCCAGAAATACCAAAATTGAAATGCGATCTCTCTGGCGGCATTCATTCGGATATCCCTCTACCACCAGCACCACCGATGACTGCTCCATCTTGCAGTCAACTTGATCAACGTTCATGTGAAGCACATACGTTGGAACCTCGTAGAAGTTGAAAGTTAACTCCGTTGTGAGTTATTCGCGTTTGTTTATAAAGCTTCTGTTAGTCGTATTCTAAGGTATTTAAGAACTGTTGATCTGTTAACTATCGCCCATGACTGCCGTTTTTTTCAGCAATCTGATGTGGTATCACCGGGTTATAAACTGTGTTTTTTGAATATGCGCTCACAGATATACCGCCTACCTCTTCAACACAATTGGTATACTTATTCTGCTTTCCGGTTTATGTAATCATGGATATCAAAGTGCTAACAGTTCTTTTGTTCGAAGTGGATAATTTATGGAAGTGTGCTGCAGTATTTGAATTGCTGTTTCAATAATTTCGTTCGCCAACTCTTTTGTTATCAATTTTAAGGATGAAAAGTTAGTTATATCAGGTTCCAATATGTCCATCTCTGTTCATCCATACTCTGTTACCGCTCTTTTAAATTAAGTGAATTAGTTTTTTTTTTTCACATATCAATCAGTTTTTATCATCTGGTCGTTATTCTTTAATTATGACTATATTCATCAGTTGCATTTCTGAATTGTGTATATTTTTTTCCTCTACTTGATTTGTGCATTGGGCGTCGAGTACTTGTTCTTACTCAGGTACGTAGAAGGGCTTTTTGAGTTGTGGGTACTGTTATATTCAGTGGTATTTCCATTTGTCAACAATACGGTATGGGTGAGCCCTTCTGTTTTTTATGGGTGAATTGCGAATTTCAAGTTCATAATGTTTTAACTACTGATCTCTATGTTTTTTTTTTCAGCGTACAGATTCTTGTTCCCTTCCTCCTTACAATTTTGTTTTCATCTCCCCTCCTCTGTTTTTTGAAACTGTAATTGTTAGAAAGTGATGGATCTGTTGTCTCATCCCAATTTTTCTGTTAACTTGCAGTCATGTTTAAATCAGTATTGTATTGCATTTGCATTACATACACAGAACTCAGTTACTGCTATACTTGTTAGATTTTTCCTTCCCCATTGTGTCAGCTCGACATTTTAAGTGCTTGCATTGGAAGAGACATTTTAACTATTGTGAATAGCCTTTATTGTTTAAGTTAGTTAAAAATAATATCTTGTTTATCATTTTGTTGTAACTAGGGGGATTGTCTTTATTTAAGCTTTTTATTGTGAGATATGAAAATATTGTATTATATGATGTCTAATTTGTAATCACAGATCATCTCGTCTTCCTTTTGTTGTAATATCTTATGCGTTGTATACAGAAGCTTTGTTCATTCTGAGTGAATCGCCACCGTCAACGCATCAGTATTATGACTTTCAACTCTTTGAGGCGGGATAAGGCAACCTTGCAAAAACGTAGAACTATGGATTTTGTTGAGCAAAAATCAATGTGCAAAGCTCGCTTTACTTAGGTTCTGGCTCAGTAGACCTAACCTACTGGTGAGTGTAACCTTGTTTTCATTGCTATGTACTTTGTGCTGTCGCGTAAAATGTCCCCAGTTCTTTAGACATGCACTGCCCCTTTAAAAATAATGTGGAGCGCCGTATGATGTTGCTGATTAAGTCTTAAAGTTCAGCATTTCTTAATTTTGCGGTGCCTTTTATTTGTCATTAATTACATGGTTTGTTTGTTTTACCTACTCGCTTGCTGTATTATGAAGATATTCACGCCCCAATAAAAGTAATGTTTTCTTACACATGTGTGGGAGACATTAAGAGGCGTGGCCAGTTATGTGCTACACTTCTTTTGCTTCTCTGTCGGTGCATGCAATTTACGACATAAGAGGGTGATGGTGACGGAAATTGTGAATCGGATGGGATTATGTAGGTTAAGTTCTTTGTGAGACCAAGTGTGTAATAAGCAGCGATTGAACGAATCCAACTATTACAAGTGGTCATGAAGCGCGAAAAGGGTCTTGCATAATTAATGACAGTTTGGGTTTAAGTCTGAAAGAAAAATAGGTAGGAAATATTCTTTATTGACATCCTTAACTTCGTTTTATTTCCTTGAAGAATGTTTTCAGCTGGATCTGGAGTAAATGAGTTTTTCATTCCATGCGACTATGAAAATAGAGAAAAAAGTCTTCAAATAATATTTCTGAATTTATCGGTTATTGATTTGTCGTGGTTATGCGTTAATTCGTTTGGATGAGTTGCTGAAGTACGCGTTGTACAATTGTTTTTGGTGAATTAAGATGAATAAAAAGCTACAATCGCTCACTCGCCATGGTTGGTATTTACACATGAAAGGAAGCGGTATGAGATGATTCAGGAGGTTGAACCACTCTTACGATACAATCTTCCTAAATACCTCGCTACAGGTATATTCAATAAGAATGTAGAAAGTCCTGGATTTAAAGGCAAGTTTTTGGATGGAAGACAAAGATTGTCTTTGCTTTCTACTAGAGACAGGTTTTTCTACTGAGAAATTACACCATATATGTTTCAAACCACAAAATTTGTCTACCGAGTTTTCTTAGCATAGTTTTAAAAAAACTATTGAACCGTCTTAAATCTGCTTTTTCTTTCTTCAATAGTTTAAACCTTATTTGAACTCCTTTTATCAAAAATGTGTACATAAAATTTTTCGTTCTGTTTGGAATTTAATGGGAAAGGATTTTTGTTAGTGACTTTGTTATGATCCAGTTGTATATGGTTAGTTATTTGAAGTTTTATCCTCATTCAGTCAACCATGGAAGTAATAAGTTTTAAATGCTATATGTGAGAGAATATGAGAGTCATTATGGATAAACTTATTGCTTATGAGATTTTTGCATTTTTGGAAACATATCACATTCAAGTGAAATTTCAAGTAAGGCTGGGCACAATTCATTTGGGGAAAGGAACGATTGGATTTCTTCGGATTATTTGCGAAGATCGGAAAAAGATTAGAGCAGTGCAGTGTATGCGCTTTTATCTTTTTGTTTTTCAGATCGCTTCCCTTTTGTTTCCCGTCCATAATGTCTCCCACTGTTCATTATTTTCTTTTGTCATTATTGTTGACCAAGCTTTCTTATGATTTGAGGTCACGTTTCACTTTGCAGCGAAATCCTTTAAAGCCAGGACAACTCGAATTCTATAAATTTGGTCTTAAATATATCTTGTAAGAGAAATACGTTCAACTATTTCGGTTGTTTTGGGTTAAGCAGTCATGAGATATGTTCTAGCAAGATAAAGTTTCTACAGAACTGGATCTGGATACTTCAGTAGAGCATATTAGATGCAAGAGTAATACAATACCATCATGTACATAAATATGTTCTCGATATTTCAACCAAACTGAAATCATATTCAACACTTGTTGGCTATTCGGATTGTTGCTTGTAGAGTTGCTTTTCGAATAAAAAATAAAATATCCAACAAGCAAAAAAAGACAAAGACATGCATAAATATATAGATAGATAGATAGGTTGATTGATTGATAGATTAGATAGTTTGCGGAGTGACTATTATTTCTTTCGCGGGGCTTCCGTGAAACAAAAAGAATGGATTGAATGAAGTTGAAAGTTTCATTACAAGTCTCCTTTTCCTTATATATTAGTTGTGTTGCTCGAAAAATCCTCTAATCCATATTTTTAAATCAAATTGTTTGTTTAATCTGAAACAGAATATGTGCAGTTCGTAGGATTAGTAAATGCGAGTTTGCATGTCATTTTTAAATAGACTAAACTAAAGACAATAATAGTATGGCATCATTTGGAGGTGTTAATATAAGCAGGACATATGCACATTTGGGAATTGGTCTTCGTCATGTGCATTATTTGTATCTCCGTTTAGAATGTTTTGATGGATTACTAAGGGACTTATCTTGAATATGCTGGATTATTTCGCTCGAAATTTCACTCAAGGGATTCGATTGCTTAAAGCTGGTGGTTCTCAGAAAACTTACCCAATATCGAGACATTTGCACTTTTTGTTCATTGATGTAAGAAGTTGATTGCTGTGTTATTTGCCGAAACTTCAACTGAAGAATTTCAGAAGAAAAACGAAGGATGAGTGCTAGTGACGACGTCAAGCTACTGGTGCCTTGCACTTAGAAAATATTGACCATTTTTTCTATTTCGTTCTTCCCAAGTACCACATCATTCTCAAGCGTTTCTTCTTCGTCCTTTTCCACATTATCTATATTTCTTAACTCCTATATTTTTATCCATTTTCCATCAACTAATTCATCCTTATTTGTGGTGCCAATCAAACCAAACGAGTTAGATAGATCCTGGCTACAAATTTACGAAGCATTATGTGAAAGATGCACAACAAGGATGCAGGGCAACTTCGATTTTTTGATATTTTTTCGGCTAAAGTTAGAAGAAGGGGAGAGAATTATCTTGTGGAATCTTATTTGAGCAAATTTAGGTTGGCTTTTTTAGCTCGCGCTTCTCTAAGGGTTTTTTTATCCATCAGCAGTCACAGGGATTTTATTTTCAGATGCAAATTATGAACAGATTTGAATCTTTTACGTTGAAAGTAGCAATTTTAATTAAATTAATAGACAATAGCAGACTTTGGTATTAGAAAAGCAATAAATTCCTAATCTAGGTAGGGCGCATTGCCATGTTAATACAAATATTCTCTTAAGAAAGAAAGATTTCTGTTTCCATGCTTATTTAATTCGATTGAACTGGTATAAATTGCAGGACAAGAAAAAAGATCGAGGATTCGGACGATAATTGCCAGGAAAGGTATAGGGAGCTATTTACTGCAGAATGTCTATGCTGTTATTACCAACATGATTTTGCGCTGCTTTTTGCGCATATTCTTTCTCATTACCTGTAATTTATTAAGTGGTGTCTGCAGTGATTTTTTAACACCTCAAACGATGCGTTTTTTCCATACTGTTCACAATGACTTCCTTATATATGGTATAACCCAGGTAATCTATAGGTTATAATGATCCAGCAAATAATTTCGATATTGGCGTAGTAATCGTAATTTTCATTGAGCCCATTATATGCTCAAAAAAAATGTTCCGAACTATTTTTAATTGATATTGGACCTGAGTAGATCAAAAGATGCTTACTAAATTAATTATTCCTTTCTCAGTCAACAGGATCGCTGGATATTTTTGGAGTTCGATAAACTAGCAAGTTGAGCGATTTTAACGATATCAATTACAGGACTGTCAGTTATACTTCGTGGAACATATGAGCTACATATTGATCAAATCACTGAAAGTTGATAGAAGTAACACATATTGCTACCCAGATTTAGTCAAACTTCATCTTCGACAAGGAATCAAACAAATTTCACTTGTGCTAATAATGAAGCAAGCCACGAATCGGATTTGCACTCTGCCAATTGAAATGCCATCGCTTCAAACTGTTAGTAACGGACAACTTTTCAGGTATTTTTTCTGTACTCATTGATGCAATGGTCTGTGGTTAATTAACCATCCTTCAACTAGGATATAACATATAACCTTTCTGAAACGCTCAACGTTTGGAATAGTGTGAACTCTGCTGTTCACGATTTACCTTTACCGTCATGAATTTTTTTGATATAAGCAAATAGGAACAGGCAAACCAGAAAATATATCTTGTGAAAATATGCTAAAGCGATTTTCCTTCTTGAATATTTTTCAAATTCTATCATATATATGGAATTCCGTTTTAGATTTTGTAGATTGCAACAAATATTCTCGATTTATTATCTACTACAATTTCTATTTATGAGCATTCAGAAGGTCTGATAACACAATATTATGCTTATTATGAGAGTTGTATGCCTTCAGTTGTTTGATCTTATTATATATTGGAGTGTTGAAATGTTAAATAATTCCAAGTGTACTTTAAACTACATTATTATTCAAATATATCCAAACTACTAGTTATTAAAAATCCGTAGAATGCGATGAATTACAATTGCAGTTATTCAATTTTCACTTCATTACCGTATGCTGCCTGTTCATATCTCAGAGATAACAGTTTTATTCTTGAACCTGATTTATCCTTCATGGACACAACATTTTCTGATATTATTTATTTTATTAATGCCAAATCAGTTGGTTCTCAATGGGATATACAACAATTTCGAGTTCGTTTTCTGACTTATTTCAAATTCTTATTTTCGAAATCTAATTAATTTTTTGAAACTCAGTGCATCCCAGACTATGTTTATTGCGTTAATTTTTAGACTGGAAACTTTTAGATAAAAACTCTCAAAAATTCCTCACTTAAATGCCGAAAAATTCTGTGGAAAATTATTTCCAGATAAATGAGTATGGTAACCTGGTAGCAATGGAAAAATTTATTGTTTATCATTCACAACAAGGTTTTCGCTTTGATTTTTTCAATTCCTTTCAAAAAAATCGCAAGTGAGATTATGTGTCGGTGTTATTTCGAATAAATTTTTGAGGAACTTTTAGTCACACTTCAAGGTAGCTTTTCTGTAAAGGAATGTTAAAAATTGGAATTATTCTTTGATAATCGTGGAGGTGGAAAATTAAAATCATTATCAGGTAACCACGGAGGCACTGAACAATTCAATCAATTCATCGTTGAACTCGATCTGAAGCGTTCAGTACTATATGCTCTCAATCGCCTTCAGAGAAATTTACTATCCGAATGTTTGTTCGACTTGCTTTTCAGGTCTCAGCTTCATCTGGTCCAAACACTCTCAACTTTCGAAATTAATTTTAGAGGTTGAAGCTGGTAGTCAATTTTCAGGCCATCTCATCTTCTCCCAAAATCGATAAAATTGGACGAAGCACACCACACACAAGCATGGCTTGAATCTTTTGCTGTCGATGGCCAGTTGATGATGTTTATTGAATCCATTCGCAATGTAATTAATTCTTTTGTAGATTTAATTAAACTATAGTGAAGAAAAAGAATATTTAAATAGTATTTAATGAATCTATCGAAGCTAAGTTCTTCATAGTTCAGACCAGTTTTAACATTTTAATATTTCGGCATTAATTCCACTTTGAATGAAATTATTGCAACTTGTGTCGACAAGTTCCAGGAAATGGGAGCCACTTCCGAATTATATTTAACAAATTTGCGAATCCGAAATAGCTCAACACGATTGCTGCATTTGGATTTTGTCGGTGATATTGGTGTGCTACGAAAACAAACTTATGCTGATTTATCAACAAGGAGTATTCCCACTTTTGGTAACTGGAAGTTCACTTTAATAGTAAAATTTTAGAAATCATAATCGACAATCTTAAAACACTATCGAATTCATTTTTTAATCTGCTGATCCAATGTAGAATGAGCCTTTCTCCGCAGTGTTAATTTACCAGTCATACTAGACGGGATTCATTTATTTTGCTTGGAAACCTAGAATATTTACTTTCAATATTTTTTCTTTTACATATGCCTCATGTTACGAGTTCCTTCAATCTAAACACCATAGCTTTTCTACTGCTTTTGAATTTTACAATAGTAATTCCATTCTGGATTCGCAACACATGATATCAGCTTCTCATATTTGTCAAGCTTACCTCTGATCAAAATCATTTCGACGTTATTTAAAACAGACAGGTTACAGGTGATATTACGCGATTATATATACAAAATGTCCGAAATACTCAATTAACAATGTCACACGCATCAACAAAACATACCGTTAATATAATATCACCGGCAACACTAACATTAACGACTGAAACACCTTCGACATCTACAACAACTTCTGCTGGGAGATCAACAATAATAAATGGAATTGATCGATTCTATTCCGAAATCGAAAATGACCGCTCTAACGGTATCGATCATGAAATTCAGAAAGAAACCGAAACACAGACAACGGCACGCCCAATTATATTGTTAGCACAGCATGTCAAGCATCAAGAATGGTAAATATTGAATTGCAGAATTTCCAAGTAAATTTATTTCAATTCATTTTAATTTAAGTCCTAGGAGTTCAGTTTGTATTCTTCAAATGTGATCACAGACTGAACAGGACTAAAGCATTAGGGCTATAACAGTGACGGCTGAGTAATTTTGGTGGAAAATTCTCCAAAGCTTCGAAATTGATTGAATGGTAATTATAAGACGTATATTCAAAACCCATAAGTTTCATTTTCACCTCCAATTTATATTATTAATATTTGGAAAACGTCTAAGATGAATTTCATCGTCCCATCTTCGAGCAAAATGCGGCGAATTGCAAGACACCCATACTCCTGTTATTTTACTAATATCGTCAATGCAATGGCATATGATCCACTTGAGCGTGTATCGCAAAGAATATCCTGTTTATTTAAGAGTTAAATGATTTCCGACACTGTGTCAGTATTTTTGTGTGCTGCGATTAGCAAGAAAAAGCCTAATTAAAACTAAAAAATGCAACGATTTTTTATTTTAATTAGACTGTGTGAGTCACTTTGTTCTGAGATAGAACTTACTTTGATATTTGCCCGATATCTCCATAAGTTTATGCTTAAATTAAAAGGAATAGCAAGGAATTTATTACGGAAGATATAACTCCACACTATAATAACGATCAAGACAGAAAGATTCCGGACATTCTTTATTACTCATACGTTGGCAGCGTATGATTTTTTTTAACTTAAAGTACATTCTCAAAATTCCTAAACTTTAAACTCCATCTGCAAATGATTTTGACAATAACTTTTTTCATGACCAATAGGGTGATTTTCGTTTATAAAGAATGTACTTCTTCTGGTAAGCTTTCAATTTTTTACTGAACTAACCTGATGACATAAATTATACACTCGATATCCAATTAAAGCTGAGAAATACTAAGCAAATACCAAACAAACACAACAACACATCTACCCTTTACGTTATAGAAATCCAAATTCAGTCTCATCTCTGCCAGCACTTAATCTATTTGTTACTTTTTTGTTTTGATGCAAATAGACAAAATTTGGTATGTGAACATGAGAAATTTCCTGACAAAATCATACTCAGCTTTTTCCGACTCCATCGGAGAAGAAGAAGGAAGAGAAGCGGTTTTACCACTTTTCCATATGTTTGAAAAATATTGCACAAAGCCTTTCAGAGACTAGCCAAGTGACCAAGTGATTTGCAAATAATGTCCATGGTGAAATTCAAGCATATAAGATATTCCAATATGAAGCGACACATGCGGCGTTGAAAGCTTTCCGCTGGATAGCATAGGTGATAGGGCCCAAGCAGTTAGGAAATTATCTTCATCAAAAAGTCGTTGACTTTCTTTTAGGTCTACCGAAGATGTTAGCAAAGACAATGACATAAAAGAATCAGAAAAGCAATTTGTTGGAAACATGGAGGAGACGCGAGATATCAGTCTTCCAAACAGTACTGATTATGAATCCTGGGAGACCAACATTCCTGAAAACGAAGGTAATACAGTGCTCGACATTGATGACCATATCTATGGTAGCGAAATGGGAAATAGACAAGGAAAAAAAGATGTTTTCCAACTTCCACAACAAGTTAATCCAGAAAAGATCGTAACAAGTGCATCTGCTGATTCCAACGAAGTAACCTCACCACCAAACACCACAAAATCAAATTGTACTTTGATTATAATGCAATTGAATATATTCGTATGTTTACTATTTTCTTTACATGTGTACTTGAACTTTAGTATTCCCTAATGGTTGTGATTCAATCACAAAATTTTAAAGTTTATTTCAACATTGATCTGTAGTATTGAAAATGAATACGACTCAGCAGAAGTTCAGATGTCAACAAATGAATCATGCCAATTTGCTAAAATATTATTAGTGATAGAGCAAGGTGGTGTGCTTTCATAAAGCGTTTCTCATTTCGAGTATTTATATTGTTGCATCGACCATACTGAAGGTCTATTTCGTTTCTGTCTTTCCAACCATATAAATGAGGTAGATGCGTTTTTTTTTTGTGATGCGGAAGCTGTCAGTTACAGAGCGACATTATTTCCACACAACTAAAAGCTTTTTTCTAAACCACCGCTGTCCATAGAAAGAGATATCAACAAAAAAGTGAACATATCAAATAATGATCACTGTACATACAATGACTGCTTCGTTTTTAAAATCATTTTCATTTCAATGAAAGGAAAAATGGTCACAGTGCAATGGGCGATTATTCATTGTTTCTTGATTTCTTGAAATAACTAGAACAAGAACTGTTGATTAACTTATCACCTTAAATGACTAAGGAATAAAATACCAAACAATGAAAGATGAAAAATTATCTCCCATACCTAACAGAGGCTGCAGTTGACATAGCTTGGAAATGTTATGCATGGGACAAAAGGAAATTATCAGGGATATAAAGCTTAATTAAATCATAAGACGAGCCGATATTACTATCGTGGTGGATAATTGCGTCATCCTTTTCAAAATGGCGGAACAACATAAAAACAGCTACTGCAACTGAAACTTCCGCTTCGAATATATGACTGTATAAGTAACCAACCACACAGCAAATGAAAGCATAAATTGGTAAGCAGGAAATGTTGCCGGTAGAAAAGCAAGATTGCACAGTGGATGAGATTTTGGGTTGAGTGACGAACAAGGACAGGAAAGAAAAGGGAAGCGACCAAGTCCAATGGAAAATAGAGTGCGATGCGAAGCAGCGTTTCACGACGGTAATAACCTGAGATACATAGATAGTTGCACTGAGGGTCCAACAAAGTAATACAGTCACAATTATGGTCGAGCACTAGTTGGCATGGCGCCAAGGAACAGGTCTTCCAGATTCGTTTGGTTTCATGGTTTTGTTTGGGGAAGGGGGAGGAGGTAAGTTGGATGTAATGTGCTGTTGGGGTTGGTGGTCTGGGCACTTTCAGACTAAAACAGCATCCCTTTGGCAGATTTTCTAGAATGAGAAGAAACAGGGTGGAGTGATTGCTCATCTTTCTGCAATGTTTTGTCACGTTAAGAACAAGATTATCACTTACAATAAAGCAGCACCTGAAGACTACCTAGAACCTCAAGGATCTTTGTGATGTTTGCTGCAGCAGCATATTATGTTGTATTGTATTCCTCTGCATATTTCAATGTGAAATTAGTTTCATAAGTATCAATACCACTTTACTATCACTCCCTGTAGTAGATAGACTTATCCCTGTTTAACTGTTTTTGTCTGCGCTTTGGGGTTACCGGATTGTTTTACCTTTGTGCTTAAAAATAAGGTAAAGTAATCTGAAACGAGAGTTTATAAGTCTATCTACTTGCTAGATTCACTGTCGCATAATGTGCATGAGCTCAGCCAATGCGGTAAAATTCCTATCGAGATTGTCAAATCATATAAAATACTGGGCGCGTGGCTATTTGTCAACTCTTTGTATGTAGAGTTATTTAACAAGCACGAATTTTTGTATATATCACAAACAATCATGCTCTTGTTTTGCTGGTGGATTTCTAACCACAGCTGAGATGTTGGTCGTCCATATATAAAATGTGGAAATATTTGGTCTGCCTTAATAAAGCTTTCGACATTTTCCACGCGAAAGTGGTTAATATTTTATTTTAAAGTTCCTCAATTCTTTAATGATGCAATTCCCACTACTCTCGCCCGTGATGCACATTCTTTCGCTAGTGCGTGAAAAAGGTTGTCAGAAAAGTAAGAATTTGACTATGAGAGTCATGTTATTGTTGTGACATCCATAAAATCTTTTCTCTAAGGAGCAGCATTCACTGAAAACTATTCGCAGTACATTAAAGCAGTGTACAGAAATTGAACACCAATGAAATACATTTTTTGTTTGTATCGAGCTGGTTCAGGGGATGAGCAGTCTAATTTTCAGTTTATTGACATGTTTCCAGTAAGCTTTGTTCTTGTTCTCAGTACTTACGCGATCAGCATTTCTTCGGATTAGAAGCATCATTTACATTTATTTGAAAATTGTTCCTAGGGATTGAAATCACTATTATATCTGTTATATGATTACTTTAAAAAGATAACACGTTCAAGGATTCTCATTTTTTTACGACGCAGTTCTATAATTATTATCTTGGTGGTATAACTAAATGTATTTGTTTTGTTTTTTCCTTTTTCAGCTCTTATTTCGAATGAAGAGCGATTAATTAAAAGTAAATTGACAGAGCAGAGGGGGTTTCGATGACCGAATACAAACTCGTAGTAGTTGGTGATGGTGGTGTAGGCAAGTCAGCCTTAACCATTCAGCTGATCCAGAATCATTTTGTTGAAGAATATGATCCGACAATTGAAGATTCCTATCGCAAACAGGTTACATTCTTGTTAATTCTCAACTGCACTGCTTTTTCAATATTTGCTTTTCAAGTTGCTTTATGGTAACCTTAAAATGATGTTTAACATTTTACAGGTTGTAATCGATGGTGAAACTTGTCTACTGGATATTTTAGACACTGCAGGACAAGAAGAATACAGTGCAATGCGAGATCAGTATATGAGGACTGGTGAAGGTTTCTTGCTGGTATTCGCCGTTAATGAAGCAAAAAGTTTTGAGAATGTTACTCAGTATCGTGATCAAATTCGAAGAGTTAAAGATAGTGATGAAGTAAGCTGCTTTGCTGTCGTCAGCTTAAGCTACATAAATTTACTATATGCTTTACGTGGGTGGAAAATTCAGGTTCCCACGAAAATACTGTTTGTAGAACTTCTTCCAAATTATATATAATATTGGGAATAGAGTGCACAAGTGTTCAGTGTAAATGTTCGAGATATTGCTGCAGGTACCGATGGTGCTCGTGGGTAACAAATGTGATTTGGCGCAAAGGACAGTAGAGTCACGTGCTATATTGGATGCATCTCGTTCACTAGGAATGCCTGCCGTGGAGACGTCTGCCAAGACACGTATGGGTGTAGATGATGCATTCTATACTTTGGTTAGGGAAATACGCAAACATAAAGAAAAGCAGTGTATCAAACCGCGAAAAAAGCGTAAATGCGTAATTATTTGAAATTTTCACAGTTATTTGGGCATCTGCCAAGTTATACGGTTTGCATAAATAAGCTCAAGAATTCTTAGTATGCGTGCTTTGATTAGCTTGCATTGTTTTCTCTCAAAAGCACTGTTTTAACGTCTCAGTGTAACGTATGTGAGAAGGGAATGATTTCTCGATCTTCTTGGTTTACCATTCTTCGCTAAGTAATTTTAACCGGTGTATTTTTATGACTTGCTTTTCTAGTTTACCAGTACGGTTATATCCTTGCTGACTTCATTTTGTTGGTTTATGTAAAATTACCAAGTTGGCAAATACTTTCTTTTTGATATTTCATCAATTCTGCAAATCATATGAACCTGTAAATTCTAATTTTTGATCACGATAGTTGAAGATTTGAGATCAATAACGGTGAAAAATTAGAACACATGAATAGGATGTAATGAAGTTTCACATTTTCCATGGGAAAATATCGTTTCTTCCTGCTGTTCGACTCAACTGTTTTTTTATTCTTTATTAATTTTTAAACGCTGTAAACTCTCAATTTAACAATCAGTAGCGTTTGTGGACGGTAACATTTCCTATCGCTCATATCACTTCCGTTTGCTGCGGCATGTTTATTTGCTGTTATAGCATTGAATACTTTGCTTTCAATTTTAGTACTGTATATTATTGGTAAAATTCAGTTTTTCTTCGTGTGTTTTATAGATGCCATTTCCTGGCTTACGTAGCGAAGCAGCAGCAGCTTCAGATTTCTTTCTGCTTTGTTTTCTTTTCTTTCGCGAATTCAGAATGTGTTTAAAAAGGGTGTTTCAAACGGATTTGTGTTTAGTTTAATGATACAATGCAGGTTTTATTATGATAGCTCATTTTACTCTTTTTTATTGCAGAAATACAAGCATTTAAAAAAATTACTAGGAATTTTAAATTGGTGTTAACGAATAATCCACTTTTTTGGGAGCTGAGTTAGTATTAGCTTACTAAATAGATCCATAATTGTGGAGGGTCATTTGGTTCAACACAATGATGACCTGCTTTTTTCATGGCTATTTTTTTCTTTGCTTTTTTGGACTTCAATGTGAAAAACAGTGTTAGACATTGCAGTGAAAAGAGTCCTTAGGATACTGAGTAACCATTTCAATTCACAAAAAACATTTTTGGAGCAATATCGAAAGTCTAGTGATATTCATTTTATTGGAGACTGAAGTAACATAATAATACCACAGTTACCCGGTGTCTTCCTGATGTTCTTTATTAATTTTTTTAATACTTTTAATTTCCCATTGTTGACCGTTTTGCTCCTGTATTGAGTATACACTTCTGCCATCTTATGACAGCGGCGATTTTCGAATGATTCATTTAGTTTTTATTTAGATGTTCCTAGCGACAGCAGATCTACTATACTTATCTTACCAGTCGATAAACACTTTAGCACCTCGGCATTTTTTCCATTTTTCGGTACAAGTAGTGACGAAGTGGACTTGTTGCTTGGAGAGTTCTCAAGGGAGAATAGGTAATCTAATTTCCCTTTTTTAAGAAATTGTTAATTTTGGATATCGTTTTTCGAAAATTTATTGGTTACAGTTCTGTCGGAATTCTGAATTGTCCATCATGTCAGATTTAGAGAATATTTTTGTTATTGTCAGCTTTGTTCCATTCTTGAATACAACATGATATCATTAAGAATTATTCTGATGCTTCCAAATTTAGATGTCTGAAAAAAATCTGTGGTTCCACGATATTTTTGAGATTGAAGCAAACATAACGTATATATGCTCTTCAGCACGATCTGTTCAGTCATTGTTGGTCTTGTGAATATCTGTTTTTATCTATGATATTGATGGAATACATATGTATGAGTACATTATTACTTGTGTCATACTTCGCACATTTTTATAATTGTTTCTGTTTCATGTTAACTTTGCATTAAAAGTTTGCTCACTGCAACTGTTGTTTCATGCATGAATTACTGTTCAATTCATCCTGCATATTTCACTTCATTTATTTTCTTAGTGCTAAGTGTCGGTGGTGCCAATTTTTTGATTCAAAAATTGTTCAATAGATTTGCTAGAAGGATAATTCAAGTTAAGAGTAGATTCTTCACTGCCACATTAATTTTGCATTGAATATCCTTTGGACGTAATTACTTCTGTGGAATTGTACGTTATTAATTGAAAGGGAATATAAGGAAGTATTTTGTTAATAAGCAAAGGTTTTTTTTTAGATGACTCGCAAAAGAAAAATTGTAGACGCTTTAGAAGACTATTCCAGGGTTCGCCGTTCCGATGCATTCGATAGTGGTAAGTAACAGAGACGTTATTCGATTTGTAAAGTAGATTATAACATGTTTTTAAAGAATCATCAGAAAGGTTTCAAGAGATCTATTAGAATTAATTTGTAGAAGCATTCATTTTCTGTGAATCAAATTGATCAGCTTTATTTATGCTTTCAGCAGTGGATGATGTTTGGAGCAGTGAATTCATGAAAGATTTTGACAAGCGATATGGGCATATTGATACTAAATCTCGGTATTTGACTACGATGTGTTACATTTTACACATGAATCTGGAAAGCATTTTCATTTTATCATACCCTCACTGGTATGGTATTCGAAAGTGTTTTTTCAAAAAGTCTGAGGCATTATGTCTTTGCTGTACTAAAGTCTTGGATATGAAAAGCCAGTAACTTTTTAGTTTCTTTTCAGGTGGAGAAGGAAAAACTCGGCCCAACAATGGACGAGGACTCCAGAAGCAGATTTTCGTGGAAAGGACGAACTAGCTGCAGATACTAAAAAACTTGAACACACCGTGGAATATCCTTCAGAGCTTATTGAATACATGAAACAAATCGCTTGCATTGTCAAGAATGATCCCACTGTATCAGGTAAAGTGAAACTTAAGTATTTGTATCAAAAAATTTAATTATTTTAGCGTCTAAGGTCAGATAGATAGCATTTGAAAATTTTCATAGTGATATGGTTTGATTGCACTAGAAGTTCATATATTTCTAGGTGATTTACAAAGAAAGTGTTTGGAGGAATGTCAAGGTTTTGAAATTTCTTTGTGCAAATATAGTACACCTTGCTTTCTAATTGACGAAATTTTCAACGGCTGCCGCAATGCTGCAAAACAATGGATGTTTAAGATTATGCAATTGAGGAAAGAGACTTCGCTGCAACTCCTTTGCATGCCTTGGGCCTGTCATACCTTGGAATCCTTGCTTTCTTCACTGTCTAACGTTCTAGACACCGAGGTATCTACCTTTTCAGTTAATCTCAAAAATTATTGAAATGATTTACATTTCCTTAGAAATTACGGACAGATGTTACATAGTAGAAACTTTTAGTTTCAAGTTGTAGCTTTTGTTTTATTATGAGATCTACTTGCTTTGACATGTGGAATTTTTCCATTTCCGAATGTTGTAGATACTCAATTATCCCACCATGACTGTGGTTGTTGTGCAGTCATCCAAGAATATCAAATGTATCATATTGAATGCAAATCGCTTCTTGAGTAATTTCTCAATGCTGACCATTATCCATTCCAGATCATTGATCATTGGGTGGATCTAGTTTTAGAAAATTGGATTCAGCTGACATCTGACAGAAATGCCGCTCATTTTATTCGCACCCTTATATATCACCTCATTGGAACTAAAAGGAAGAGATCGGGAAAGATGGAGAAGTGTTTAACGAGGGATGTTCTATCCAAAAAAATACAAATCAGTCAATCAGCGAAAGAAAGTTTTGGGAGAATTGCAAGTATGGCGCTGGACTACAGTTCGGTGAACGGTTAGTGGCACGAATGGATAATTTCAATAGCATTTTCAATTTCATTTCTGAGCATTTAAGAATGGGAATGGAAATTGATCTAAACTCAGTTCCTTGATTTAGTATTGTCAATCACAAATTATACCCGTTGATAATGGAACTTATAGCCCTGTTGAACAGTGAATCAGTTTCTTTGGTACTACAAGATGTGATCGAATGTGACTCTGTTTTACAAACTGGTTATCTTCGAAGATTTGTTGAAGCAGCCTGCGTGGACCCTGATTCCATTTTAAAACAGTGGAAGGGAAAACAGGCTTCTCATTTATGGGATGTTATAGTGCAGAAGGTTTGTATTTTAAATATTTAAGTAGAGTGTTAGGATAAATCGCTGCAGTAGTCGTTATTTATAGGTTGATGAGGATCTCCGTCAAATTTTATATCATTCCGTTCTAGAAGGCAGATTGTTCGACCTCTCTTTACACATGTTCGCTAATTTCCCTGTGCAAAAATATATATTATCAGTAAAATCAAATGAACTGGTACGTAATAGCTTTTTTGGAACTGCTGAATCTGAAGCCAGTGTTACCAAATAATTTAAAATACGTGCATTGCATCTGTTGGCTCTTATTTTAAATGGATTCCCAAAGATTGCGGTTTCTAAAAAATTCTCATTTAAATGCATCATTCTAATTGTTTCAATTAAAGATTCTAGGGCCAGTAACATATTCATTCCTGACTTTACAGTCATAGTATGGCGGATTTTTTTTCAACTGTACTTCAAAAAGTCCATTTGTTTTACCAGTTTGTTACAGATCGGAGGACTATTTCAGGTTACTAAGGTTTCTGACGAACTTATTAGTCATTTCGTCGATATTTGCGCTGATTCTAAATGGGGAATCATTGCTGCACTGGTTCAAATGGCCCGCAATAGAAATGAAGTGGTTATCGTTAAAAAGCTACGGAATTATTTCAGATGTCGTTCTAGATCTGCAAGATCAACATTTGTACCCTGTGTATTCACTCTTGCTTGCCGGACTTCTGCACAGTGTAATTTTCTTTTTTTTTATTCCATATTTGTGGATAACTGATTAGAATATCAGTAGTTGTTCACTTGATTTTGATAGCTGTTGTAGTTATGGGAACTTTTGATGTTGTAAAAGGACAGCTGCATGGATCCCTTATTCTTCAAGAACTTATAAATTACGAGCATAACAAAACAATAGTTATGTCAATGAAATCGCTAACGGGTGCAACGGTTTTCGAAATGGCCCAAGATAAGAAAGGCAGCTTCTTACTGCAGTCTCTCTTCAAATCTTCTACAGTTTCGCGAACTGACAAAGAACTGATTGCCAAACCGTTGAAGGTTAGTACTTTACATCACTTAGAAAATGATTTTTATGAAAAAGTAATTCTACAGTTGGTTCTTTTTTCACCCGCAAAAAACAGAACTGATTTTAGACACTTAGTTCTTGCGGATATGAAACCCGATTTTTTTTATTCGTTATTTGTTAACTTGCAGTTGAAATGGCATGAAGTGATAACCAATAATGTTTCAAGCCATGTATTCGACGTTCTCTGGGCAAATGATCTTTATAATATTGTGGAAAAAGAAGAATTAATGGACGCATTGTCGAAGGCAGTGATTGGGGTAGGAATTTGACTGACATTGTATTTCATCTGTATGTTTTCTTGTAGCTGTATGAAACATTCCCACAGTTTTGTTACGTAGTGAAGCCTTATTTGGAAGTCTTCTATATTATTTTTTTGTGCTTATATAGCGCTTTGTGCTTATATATTTTTTTCCGGTCTTTTAATGAAACACTGCGCTATATAAGTAATGACTTATATAGCACAGTGCTTCATTAAGAGATCGAAAAAATGGTTTCACTTAGTCTGTAGATCCACATTCAGCTGCAGAAAGGATTATCCTCAATTCTTGAAGGTAGTTAATGTTACACTGTTATTTAGCTGAGCCCTTCAGGTGTCCAGAGTATCCTTGCAAGTCTACTGTTCTTATAAGGAGCTTATAAGGAGCGTTTTTATAAGTATGCTTTTCAGAATCATTGCAAAACATTACGTCTGATGTGTACGAAATTGAATTTGCGAAAATTTAGAGAACAGCGAAAGAAATGGCTAGAAGATGCAGGGACAAGACTTGTGAAATAAATGTTTTTTCAACTTTTTTTTTTATAATTGGAAATAAATTACCTGAAGTACGTAATTCGCACTCAGTTCCTATTCAAAAAGACGGTTACGCGACCTCGCGAAGTTTGAGAAAGCGCAAAAGGATTTCGATAATTTATCTTCGACAGTATGAAAAAAAGCTTCCATGAAGTGACTCGGAATCTGTCGCTGGAGGAATTACTTTTATCAAATGAAGTGCCATAATTTTTAACGCAAATGACTCACCGCTTTCGTGTTAGATGTTTCAATGATAAAAGCATGAAACACCCAGACACGAAACGGGATGGATCACAAAACAACGCTTTTAAATATTGTTCATATGCGGTCGATAAAGTCATTTCGCTGATATGCCCTTCCAGCAATTACTCTTCAGGTGCATTGCCATTCATATACAGTACATCGTAGATTGCAACCTCTACTTCATCAGCAATTGCTTCCGCATCATGTTCTGTTGCTGCTTCAGCATAGATGCGTACTACATCTTCCGTACCGGATGGACTAAAATGAAATGTCGGGTAATCTTAACGTCGAGTGAGAGATTTGTACTCCGTATTCCCTGTTTGTTGACTGCAGAAATCTCGAGAGGAAGGAACTAACCGGACAAATGATCGCCCATCAAGGTACTTTGAAATGATAGCATCTATCATTCCCTGCAGTTTCGGCGGTTTCACACACGTTGTTTCATCAGCACTCACTTGAAATGCTGATCGATTCACAACCTATTTATCATATTCATAGAAAAAAAAGATATTTATGTCATTGAGTCAACCTCTCTTCGGCACTGCACTTTCAGCAGTACTGTAACTAAAAAAGGTTAACTAAAACGATATGGATTAAAAAACAAGTAGCTTTACCTCCAGTAGTAATTTATTCGGGAAAAAAAATTACCCTCAGTTTTCTTTGCACATTGGGTAATTCCTTATATATACTATTCCAGTTTTCTGCCGTCCAATCATAATGTTTTAGAAGCATTTCAACAGCGAGCAAATCGGTCATCGCGTCACCCACAACTGTATTCAGCAATTTGGAAAAACAAAGTAGCCTTTTGATTTCGATTGTCTGGTCAATTTCATCTTTGTGAGTGATTATTGTCCTGGAAAATTGCTTTTCAGTATCTAACGACACTACTGAATTTATAGTGGATAAAATACTACATAATTTCTAGATTTAAAACACAGATTCAAGCACAAGTTTCCAAAATTCTTAGCCAGCCACTGCTTCATAAATGAAAACAAACTAAAACAATGGGAAAAAGGATGTATTTAACAATGGTAATAATGACAGTCAATGACCTTATAATATCATAGAATCGAGGGCTAAAATACACGGTTCCATGTCCATTCGCTTCGAAATACACCGCAATGTCATATTTTATTGCTTCTTTCTGCAAGTTTTTAATTCCTGTTGCAACACAACACACATGTATACCCTAAAATCATAAAAACTTAAATGAAATAATTGCACTCTTTCGCACGTATCGATGAACAATAACTTCATGATAACTTATATATTTCAGATTTTCGATAATTGTTCTCTGAATCGTCCTATTATAATTGCAATCCAAATTTTTTTTTTTTTTTTTTGATATCTTGGAAAGTACATCACAGTAAAATGTAAATTCGAGAATAGTTGTGAAAACTATATTTCTTACTGCAATTAATACCGCCGACAGTTATAACTCAGAATAATAAATGACTCAGCATCTGCACTGACCATTTCGTCTTTCAGGAACTTCGTAGAGCTACCATTTGCATAACCTGTTTGTATTACTGATATTGTAAACACATCATTGAGTCCGGCACCACTAACTTGCTGTAAAAGACAATTTCACAATTTTTGCACTTTCTGGCTGAGAAGTCAGATCCGATATTACGAAAAAGAATTGCGTACTTCTGCAATGTATTTCGCGAAAAGAGCTGCTATTTTATCGCCATCAATTAAAACAAATTCATTCGAAGCACCGCGATAGAAATAAACAAGACGATCAGCATCACCATCAAAAGAGGCACAGCGTTCAAAAGCTTGTATTTTGTCGAAATTGCGTGGAAATTTCTTTTCTATTTTAACATAGTCTGCTCCGCACTAAAATCAGTATCTAGGCAAAGAACAGTCGCAAAATAGTGAATTTATAATGATCACTCCATGTGTCGTATTTTTGATATTATTCAGATGCAGAGACATATCTTCAACAGTCCCTTAAATCTCTTTTCAGAGTTTTTCATTTCCATCTGCGAACTACCACTCTTTCTATGTATATCAGCCATATCGTGAATTATGTTACACTTGTGCAATAATACTGCTATATTCCAAACACGCTGTTCATATACACATATGAATTCAAACATCTCAACATTATTAGAACCACTACGTTTGTTCGAATCAACCTGGATGTCTCGCACACTCGCTTGACGTACAAACAGTTACAGTATTCGGTTGTAATTCCGACACGAAATGCTATGATTAAAAGAAATCAAGCGAGAAATAATGACCTCTATTGTTTTCTGTTACCCATGATATAAATTCTTAAATTGTAAATTCTTAAATTCTTAAATTTTTTTTTTTTTAAAAAATAAACCTTAGAAAATTACAATAAGAAGTACATTTGCACAACCGCCTTTTTTCTATAAAAATGAAGGAAAACGAACTTGCATGCAGAGTGCATAAACTTATAAAAAGAGATTGATGCCAACTAAATCCATAACTTGCTAAAGGGTATGAAAATAAAAAAGCCACCGCTGCGCACAGTGTTTACATCAAAGATACCTGATCATTGAGCTGTGCTTCCTGATAATTCATCAAAGTGACATCCAGGATTGACCACCTTATGCACATAAGAGGGAACTTTTGAGCACCGACACCATTTGCACAATCCAAATATAGTGTTGGAGTATATGCTTTTCCACATCGTGTAACCTGTTGTATCGCTTTTCAGCTTTGAAGGACCTGTTTATGGTCAATGATTGCAACTGTAGCTTGCCGATTTGAGAAATAACTTATAATCCGAAGCGGTCGAAAATAAATCAGGTTAAGTACTTTTTGAATTAGTGTGAAAGCTTACGAAATTCAAACCAGCGAGAGCATTATGCACTTTTGCATAATATCCAGCCTCAGTAGGAGAACCATATGCGGAATCATTCTGGCAGCGAACTATATAATGCAACTGAGGAGTTGTTAGTAGACCTGAAACTATTCTAAACCAAGAATGAAGCTATCAGGCATTCATAATCACCATGCCTGAATTTACTTTATCACAAAAGTTGGAGTTCATTTTACCATAAAAATGGAAATCTTTGAAATTTATTGCTGGTTTCAAAATTCAAAGCTTTGATCCCTGTCATTTATGCAAAAATGCCAGCTGCTATGAAGAGTCTTTCCGTGATGGTCCACAAATAAAAGCATATTAATCTCTTAAAGAGGTTTTAATATGCCAACTGATCAGCCACTCATGTTAATCATTTCTTAAATCTAGTTATCATTGCTTCTTATAGTCTTATTTTAGTCTGCCAACACATGAGAAGGATTGGTTTCCATGGAGATGACTTAGCTAGGGAGAATTTAATACTAAAACTTATTCCTGAAGGACAGTTACATTTTTCCTTCTGCTTGTCTACAAAAATTAACGAAATTCTCTACTCCAGTTCCATGCATGGTGTCATCCATCCATAAAAAATATCAAATCAATCACCCAGCCTTCGACTACGAACTCTGGCACACTGCGCTCCACGGAATGCGGCTTCTTCTATATATTTCGAACTTGGACGTGTATCGACGGCTGTAAAAACATTGGCATTTTCACCAATTCTTCCACTGAACTGTCGTCGAAATTCTTGTGATCTTTCCACGAATTCAGTGTCGCTGGATATAAAAATTTCGTTTTTTAGAATTATGTAAACAAACGCCAGATAATGTCGAACGATATAAATGGGTCAACAATAATAGTCTGAAAATAATAAAAAGAATGAAAGTGACAAGGGAAAAACCAACCTGGCATTAACAATCAAATTTGCATAATTCTCCCACGTAACGTCCAACATGCCTCCCATTGGGTCGATTATTTTCACTCCATTATCTTCGATCGGATTATGTGATGCCGTTATCATTATACCTATAGATTGATTTAAATACCTGAAACATGGAGTTCAGAAACAACTTAACCACATTACGCATCCTGAATAGTAAGTTTGAAGAAACACTACTAAATCTTGTGGAGATAAGAAAAAATGGAAGAAAATAGAAAGGGCTCCTAAATAGCTAACAAACTGAATTTTAACTTTTCAAACTAGGTGGTATACTCACATTAACAGGGACAAAAAGTTAATGAGTAGATGTTCATTAATGAGTAGATGTTCATTATGATATACACTCTATTTAAGTAATACGTGCAAATAATATTGAAATTAATAAAATGTTAAGATAAAATACCTGGCACGGATACCAGCTAGATATCCAACACGAAATACAACAAAAGGCAAATAGGTAGCATTAGCTCGAAAGCCGGCTGTGCCATAATTAAATTTTTTTGTAGGGGAAATTGGTACCTTTCGTCCATTATGGTCAGTATTGTTTTTCCGAGTATATATTTCTGGAATAATTACTTCAGTCATCTTCAACTGTAGGTCCTGAAACTTCCACCAATACAGCAATTAACAAAGAATCCGTAAGAAGCATTCTAAATCAAAATTAAAATAATGACAACGCCAGCAATACCAATGCCACTAATGCAACAAGCTATAATCTAATTTTCTACTAATATTTCCACCAATCTGTAACGGATAAAAATATATAAGCTTTTACGGTAAAAAACCACCATAAATCTACAATCAAAACATCATTTCAAGAACATGATTAAAATAAATTAGTCTCACAAATCCCATAACTCCGAGAGTTTACTCATACGGTGAATGATTTGTAAGTTATTTGTCCGTGCCTCTGTTTGCCCATCGCCCCTAGGCCGCATCAAATTAGTTTTGACGTAGCATATGCAAATTTCGTGAAAGGTCGCAATCCAAGAAAACAGGAGTCAAAGAAGGCGTCTTCTCGAGAGCGAAAGTGAGAAACGGTTCCCAACAGCCTTTTCTCTCCCCTTGTCCTTCCCGCTCTAATAACACATTACGCAAATAAAAGATAAAGATCAAACAATCAAACATCGCTATGTTTTTAAAGAGCGATCAATTTCGTCATCTACCCTTAGGACTCCTAATACTTTCCACAATCTATCATAGTTTTGTTCCTACCATTTCTGTCGTCTTGTGGTACTTTTTGGCTTGTAAGTTCCAACAAACAGAAATATTATACGAACGTCTCATACAAAGCATATTTTAATTAACTCTTGTTTCTATTTGGATACATTTAAATCTCTATGCCCTCCTCAGTATGGCTAACATCATAGGACAGAATAATCATTCCTAATGCGGATGTCGTAACCATCTGAATATTTCTAGTTTAGCAGAGGAGTTCGGGAAGTTTTTTTGCGAGACATGCAGTAAATGAAATTAAACGATGTCAGATGAATATTCATCACTTCCGCAGCAGTCCAGATATAAACAAGGGGGTAAGGAAGTTTCGTTTGTCTGTGTAGCGCGCGTTTTAACCTTATATTGCAGGTGTATTTAACATAGAGATACTCCAATATCTCAGGCTATATTTATATCGTTAATACCAGAAGTCTTTTGTGTGTCTTCAAGATTCTTTTTCGGCCTGGCATCAAAAGAGATTTCCCTGACAAGCAAGTAAGACCGACTTTCTACTAAGAATCGAGGTTTGAGATATACACACACATAACAGTCAAGGACTTTCAGAACTATTGCAAATCAAAGTTTTTAATCAGATTATTTAGTAACATAAAAGGCTCGGTTGGCTGATCATACGTGGTCATTAATTAATTCTTTCCTTCTATTTCTTTTTGATTATCACCGCACTTTCTTCCCTTTCTGTTGAATCTCGAAATTTAGAAATTTATTTTGTGTTCACACAGAATTTTTTCCCTCAAAGTGGTCGGTACATCTGTACAAATGGATTCCAAAAATATGGTTTGAGATTTTCTCCAAAAGTAGAAAATATGAAAGCAGAGTAGTGATTTAGTTTAGATTCTGTAAGCTAGGATAGTTTCCTAATTACTTTATTAACTCCTTCAACTCCCTCAATTAACGTGACTATACCATTAACAGAGATCTGTAAGTAGAATTCAACTTATATCAAAAACTGTCGGTTTGAAGCATAGTATTTGTGCATGACAATTGCTCGTTTCCTGCAACAAAAGCCGCCACATACGGTTGTGATGCAACGAGTGATACATTCATGTACGCAAACCGGAGTTCAATAAATACGGCATGAAACATCCGCCATGCCCAATGACCTAGAAATAAGGACCGCTGAAGGATTACCTAAAAAAAGATTTTGCACATACTTAAGAAGGGGGAGATGTTTTTAAGATTAGAAAACTGGATAAATTTCTTTCACAAACAAATGAAATTGATGATAAAATTTGTGAAAAATACTATAGAATACTGTTCGGTGTTTCAAAAGGACGAATCAATTCACAAAACGTATCAGTTTCAATGGCGCTATAACGCAACATATTAATAACATAGGAAAACAGTAACAAATACATCTAGTGGTTACCAAATTTTCAATTCTTGAATTTGTTAATGTCGCTGGCTGAAAGTGAAGTTTAAAGGAACACTGCAAACGCCACGCAAAAATATCGCCATTGAATGTTTGAGTACCTTTTTCGACTAGATAAAATTTCTGGGAAACAATGTGCAAACTTGGTCTAAAAATCTGCTTTGATTCTGTTAATTTAATTTGATAATGTTAATTTTAATCACGAAAATGTAAATTGGAACGCGCAATACACTGTTTGTCCTTCAATAAAAAGTGACTTACACTACTGCACTCTGAGAAGATTGCAACGACAAAGTACAACAGTAAATAGAATTGAAAAAACCAATTGCAGAAACTGCTACGCCTGTTGCTATTGTTACTTTCCATCAGTTGTGTGTTTCTAATATCGATGTCCTAGAAATTGGACTTCAAATTGGAAAAACTTCAAATCTTATTAGATGGAGAACGGTATATTGTAAATGTTTAAAATAAAGCTGAAATTGTACTAAACATATAACAAACCTGCATTAAATTACAAATTCACCTCTTTGTAAATAATTTTTGCCAACTTCATAACATTTATAAATTAGTCACAAATCTCAAATACAGTAACCAGCTTCAAATGTAGGTTTTTTCCTTCCAGGCGCAGCATTTCGTAATCAAAAGTTATAACTTAAACTAGACATTATGCTACAACTGGAATTGAACAAAAGTTACAGCTGAAACTCATTTTTCAAGTAATTCGCAAAATATCCGGTTGAATTTTAATGATGGTATTGCGGAATGTTCGATTGATAACTGCATAGGAACAGGTCAGGTAAAAATATAATGCCAGTATTGTGCAAGTTCGACTTCGTTCTAAATTAGAGACAAGATTGCAACCCTTGCACTTGTAGTTTACTACATTCCAACCTTGTTAACTTCTGCCACACTGATTTTTCTCTTAAATATTTGCGAAGACCCATTTATAAATTTTTTAATATATTTCTGAAATGCTTATAAAAATTTATATTCATGCACAGAAATGAACATGATGCTGATAAAACTGATGTTAATGGTTCAGGAATGACGACAATTCTTGCACACGGCGATAGAAATCTTGGTGTACCTTATTGTCACATCGGTTATTTAATGAAAATTAAAAATGATAGTTTCAAATAAATGGAAATACCCTTCTGTTTATGATTTCCAAAAAAAAATTATACCATACCGATGACATTAGCATATCAGTTGTTAGACGATCTCATGAGAAATATTTCTAAGTCAGCTACTTATAATTGGTGAAATGAAATCAAGTTTTACTGCTATTTGCTTCAGTTTTTGTTACATAAACCTTTTTTCTATGAAACACAGTGGAGCATCGTCACATTCATAGAACGTTCAAATTTATTGTAGGTGGAAAATTTTCTTTCAAAAAATTTTTTCCACTATCTTTAATCGAATAAAATTTCGTGTAAAACAGGAAACCGCATGCGCCAAAACTGATTTGTAAAAGGCCCGATACATACGAGAAGCACAAGTGAATCAAACGAACCTCTTCGGTCCTTGAATGGGATCGGAGTCGTAATTTACCTCCATGGTGTGGTCGAAGGTTCTCCTCATGTTGCGAAGGGTTGTGATGATATTTTCTTGGAGGGGATAGGCTAAATGAGCCTCACTGCCTTGGTTTAGAATTCAACATTCTAATTTATTTAGTCCAAAGAGATTTTCGTGGCAAAGAGATTTTTTTTTAATATAATAGCGTTAAAAGCTGTTTCGGACAATGACAAAACTTGACTCAAAGAAGTTTGCTGCATGACAGCTAGGTTGAAAAACGCAGTAATGTACATTCAGTTTGCTTTACTGGTATTTAAAAAGCTATAGCAGTAGTCGTGCAAGCAAGATGAAAGCTGTGCTACCACGAAGGTTCGGAAATGGCTGAAAAAAAAAAATTTTTCATCGCATCTCGCATGTGCTTCCATTCCACTGATCACAGCTGGTTAAATCATCGTCAGGGTCGGATGGTTAGCTATTATTTACATTATATTTATCATGTTTATGTTTTTTTGTTTCTAAAAACAATTTATGGTGATAGTTTTCCTTCAGAAGTTTGAAAGCACGTAAAAAAAACGAGGTTAGATTGAAGCCTCTTCCAGCGCTATTAATCTAAAATTATTTACTAAAGGACGGCGTAATTGAAAAATTTTCGCCTTTTTTACTTATTGCATTGCAATGCATAGAACATGCAATAATGATTATAAATTTTTGTTTTATACTCATAGAGGGAGGTATCTAAGCGGGACTGTATTAATAATAACGGTCTCTGCAAACTGAAAATGCTGAATCTCTTTGTGCTATGATTAGGTTATTCATAAATCAGATTCACATAAACGAAATTTTCTGAAAAAACTTAGAAGTTTTCAGACTCATTATACTGATAATATTTCGCTCTGCATTGTGATGATAGGTACGGAGAATTTCAACAAACTTGATCATCTGCAACAGCTACTTCTGAAAGAAATGTGTAGTCACATTCGCAGAAGGTATATCAAAATCCTTCTTTCTGTTTCCTTTCATCCGTTCTTCAAATTTCTTATTATTTATTGGTTTTGTCGGAAATTTCATCGAATTTTTGATGGGATGAGAGAAGTAACTTTTGAGTTATTAAGAATGTACTAAGATTCAATGAGCTGATATCTGCTAAAGACTTACAGCTCTTTCCATACAGTACTCTCTGAAACACACAGTACCACGTTTGGATGATTCCGATGTTCAATCTTTATTGAGGTATCTTTTTTCATCTTTGTGAATTACATAATTTTTCTGCCATTCCTTGATGTCTAAAGACTAATATGTTTCTTCTTAATTTAGCTTTTTCATTCTGTGATAAGTATATACGTTTTACGAACCTCTTCATTTTTCAGATTGTCTTTCACGGTTCGGGCTTCGGTAAACTTTAATGTTACTAAGGAATGTCTTGTGTTGACTATGTCTGATATCCTTCTGTCCTAATTTATAATTCTTCAGTCACCCTCTTATACGAAAAGAATTTTGGTAGAATCCACTGATGAGTCCAGTAAAATAGGATTTTCTCTAACTGTTTCTTTATTCCGTTCATGGTAAACTTTACTTGATAAAATAACTTTAGAAAATCAGTAACTTACGCGCAATACCGAGCATTCATGCGCGCAATCTTTGGTTATTTGTTACCACGTGAATTAATCGGAAAATGCAATATGAAGCTTGCTGTCGATCGTATTTCATCTATTCTGTTTAAGCTTGGGTGTGTCCTTCCTTATTACTGAGAAAGTAGAATCCTATCCATTCGTTTGGATGAAGCTTTTCCCTTCATACAGCCTTGCAATCTTCGTATGACAGTTTATTTTGCACTTGTTAGTCGAAAGCAGTTGATATTAACAGTGTTTTATTTGTGAGATTATTAATCGGCTTTTGTTTTGTAGGTTCGATGAAAGTGTAAGATTAAGCGATCTTTTCCCAATTCCGTTCAAAACCTCAGCTTTAAAATGGTTAAGATGTTTACCATCTCATGAGCTATGCTGCATATATCGGAAATTCATGCTTTGGTTGCTAGAATTTTCTATTCACATCACTAGGTGAGCCTCTGTTGTTTGTTCATTAAAAAGTGCTATGAAATATTAAAAAATGAACGGGAAAAAAAATCCGTAGTGTGTATTTGTTGAGGAACTGGTGAAATAGAGGAATGAGTTCTAAGACAAAGAAGGACAGAAACAGCGTTAATGACAATAAAATATGCCAACATTTTAGGTTGATATCTATACTTTCGACTCAAGATTGATCTTGTGATTACTTTTCCTTAGTTTTCAGTTTAGTATCACTTTCCGTTAGCCTCAATAATTTTATTCCTGCTTAGGGCTGCGTTTTATGTAACACCAGAGAATAGAACGAAGCTATTACGTTTTTATCGAAAAGATATATGGAAGCGCATCGAAAGTCACAGTTTCTATTTGTTATCTGAGAAAAGGGATTTAAAGAAAGTGAAAGGTTGTTTTATTTGTGACTTTATTGTACTTTTCTATATGAGATATTTCTTTGCTGACGTCTTTTGCTGCCAAATATGTGAGCTTTACATATAATTGATTTGCATCTAATATCTTCATGTGTTTTAAGGAGTGATGAACAGTACAGTTGGAGCACAGATTCGATTTCTTCCGAAAAATTCAGGCACACGATCATTAATCGTGCCCACAGGAAAGAGCTTCTTAAGGAAATATTCGGCCATCGCATTGAAGATAGTCTCTGTAATTATTGATTTATTATGTTCAAAGCAGCGCAAATATTCCAGTGAGCTTCCGCTTACTGGGACTGCTATTTGGAACGGTAAATATATAGATTCCCTCCCTTTGCTGAGTGTATACAATGCTTCTTGTGCTGACGTCTTCATTGTTATAATAATTCATCATAACAAAGTTATATCTGGTGTGTAAACTTTGTGTCTATTTAATCTTAGCAGCTTTGTAACTCTTCTAGTGAATGAGGACCTCTGTATTCAGTCCTGAAAAAATCGTTTCAATCGTTTTGGCGTAACTTATTCTATTCCTCATTTGAAATTTTATTTTCTCGTGTTTGCGTTTTCATTTTAGGCATTGGTGGATTTCCCAAACGTTTTCGACGATTCATGCAAATGAATGGATCAACAAGAATTTACGCGGTAAAAACGGATGTTCGAGACTGTTTCGATTGCATCAATCAAAATCGTTTGCGTTTTATACTAAAGAAACTTATCTTGTTAACAAAGTACGTGTTTTAAATTTCATTACGATTTAATATTTTTACAAGATCATGGATGTGCTTGTTTGTGATGATGTTAGCGTTGTGATATGCTTTCACTTGTGGTTTTACAGGACTTCTGCTTTCTGATGCTTAGTCAGTTTCATATTTTTAGCTACTTTTCGCTGTATTCTTGGTCCGGATTTTGTGATTTGTCCTTAATCCAAATGTTGTGATTTGTTCATCAAATGAATTTCCCGAGTACTGGAAATGAAGAGGTTGGATTGCAGACATTTTCGATTAAACGCAAATGTGATTGGGATGAGTTCTTTGATTTTTGCTCGGCGATGTGGTTTCGGATGTGGAATTGATGACCATAATTGCAATCTTTTGGAAGTAAAACATCTCGTTTTGTCCATCTGTTTCTCTTTAGGTTCCATTAATATCCCATTTTGTGTTTGCATTTATATTGTCCATTGCAGCTATGTGTGACGGGTGAGATGGTCATGTGGTTTCTTGAAACTTACGTCATCAACAAAGAAGTATGTTTTTTTAAATAGACAAATGCATTAGAGCTCCATAGAACCAACCGTCTATAAAAAAAATGGGCTTGTGAAGAAGTGAAGGGCAGATATCTTAGATTGTTCATATTTGGTTTTTCAGTTTAAATATCGCGACGGTGTGTATCGTGCCTTTCGTGGCATACCACAAGGTAATCATGTTTCAACACGTTTATGTGATCTTTACTTGGGTGCAGCAGACTGCGAAAGATATTTCGAATTGATGAAACGACGCGATACATTACTCATCCGTTATGTAGATGATTATCTGTTACTGACAACTGATATGAATGTTGCACGGGAGGTACTTAACGACTTTACTATGTCGGTTTACAATTAGTTGAAAGCAGATTTGCCAAAAAATGATAAGTTGTAAGGAATGAAGGAAGAGGATGAGAGACGATTCCAAAAAAATACCATTCATTGTTATACAGTTTGCCTTTATAATATATTAATCAAATGTTTTCAAGGAGGGAAAAATTGTCATTCCTTTTGTTCAGTTTCTGAAAGTGATGCATCTCGGAGTAGATGATAATTATAACATTATCGCTGACTCTAAGAAGACAGTAATTAATTTTTACTGCGAATGTAGTGAGTTGCTTATTTCTGGCAAAATGGTCGGTGCATGCAGCGCAGTGCCGTGGTGTGGTTATATAATTTATCCGGGTTTGAGAAGGGTTGGTAAATTTGATTTTGCATGATCTACTACACTTTTAAATGACTACTGTTTTTTCTAACTGCTTCAAAAATTATAAAAACTGTGTTTATATTTGGTGATTGGCAGCATTTACATGTTATATTTTACAGTACTGCATCGATTGGGCGAAAATGCATTCAGAAAAAGCGATTACTTGTAGAACTGTACACAAAATGAGTTCACGCGAGAAAAGAATCGCTGTTTTGAAATTTTTAAAGGCCTCACTTCTTGAAAAGTTTGTCGTTTTTTAGCAGTAATGCAGAATATATTTTAGCAAAGAAAAACATTTGTAAGCAAAAAAATCCTGCGTTGTTCAGATACAGAATGCTTCATCGTTTCCCTTCTAACAAGTGGAAGATCAGTGTCTTGAAGAAGTTTGCCGCCATTGGTACGAAATTATATGCTCGTCCGTATGCCAAAAAAGTCCGACTTTCCATGAAGGTACAGAGAAGCAAAATATAAATAAAAATATTAGTGATTAGTCCATTCTATCATCCATACTTCACACATGTGTCTATTGAGGTTTTAACTGTTTCTAGGGACGTTGGAATCATGTATTTTGGCAAAAATTACGTGCTTGGCTCCAGCAAGGATTTGCGTACTCATACAATACAAAGTTGGCTCATCTGTATGGATGAAACGGTCTACGAATGTGAAGCAGTGCTTCTTTACCAAGTTCATGACTTTTCATCATTCATGGAACAATATTTTTCGAATGGAACGGAACTTTATGAGACTAAAAAATTATTAAATTTGCAACTACTGTTGGTGATTTTGTTATGAATTATTGAATTAAATCATTTAAAAAAGCACGTGCTTTTCCCATTCAGGCTTCAAGCCTTCAATATCTCTTACTGAGTCTTCATACATGATTTCCAGATGTGAGAATTAAGTGTGACTGAAAGGTTTTTTAGAACATATGCCTGATTCAATAACCTTCAGAGAATTCAAAGGTGTAATTTTGTTTATATTTATGATTCATGAGATTCTAAGGATTTCGATGCAAGTTCTTAAATTTAGTCCTACGCGAAGTATTTAAACATTAGGGTCGCGAGATTTCTGAACCATTTCACTATAATATGTATGTCTCGAACTATGTGAAATATGTTGCTGCTTACACATTTCCCCAATGTATACATCTGAACTGAATGAATACTATATTCCTGAATTGGAATGCTTGATGAAGACAGCAGTTTATTCGGATCTGATGACGAAGACGACGATGAAAAGCGGAGGGAGAATCCGGAAGACAAAAAGTACCTCTTCCGAAGGGAGTTTCGCACTATGATTTATGGTTTTGGCGATGACAAGGTATGTATGTCTTTCAGCCTAATTGCACTGTACATTTCTAGTGATGCTATACACCAGAGTATCCAGCGATATGTTAGCATTTCATGCTGTCAGTGAAACATCCAGTAGAGCAGGTTATGACTGGATCACGAATGTGTAGGACAATCAGCTATCCAGCAAGTTGACCAGAGATCATAAAACAAAGGACATGCCGTGAAGGGATACCGTTATGTTATCACATTGTATTAAATGATCTTTCAGTAACTGTATTTCAGGTACCCTACGATAAAACCCTGGAACTTTTGGAAACCATTGTAACAAGCTACATACAGCATATGTGTCAGCGTGCTTTACAAATGGGTAAACCGGGTAAATTAGCTCTTGAGGATATACATTACTTGATTCGGCGGGATGCTAAAAAATTTGGCCGTGTCAAAGATTTACTGTCGATGAGTGAGGAACTGAAAAAAGCGAGAAAGCAGTTTGATGAAGCGAAGGCAATATAAATTTTATTACTAGAACATTCTTGAAAGCTAGTTGAACCAAAGGCAGGTAAACAGAGATATAAACCTAAAGATTGTGAGGCACAGTGTGGAATAAGAAATGAAGGGACAATGATTCTCGGATTTGCGGATAGAAGTAAACTATGACAGAAATTTTTTATGAAAAGAAAACATTGCAATAGGGAATATATTTATGGTGGCACCAAATACCATATTAACAGTTTATAAATGTAAAGAAGTCAGCATTACAAACTGCAAAAAAATTGATTGTATTATTATTACTATTACCTTTTTTAAGCTTTATGTGTTTGCTCTTTTCAGTACACTTCATTGTTTAATATTACGATAAATGATAAACTGATCAGAAAAAACAAGAGTTACACATTGTAAATAACTTATTAATACCGCATCCGTTTAGCCCTGGAACTATTGAGCAAGAGGTATATTTCCTGCAATAATTCATCGTTGGCAACATCAAAATATGAAGACATTTTAAATAATGAGGCGTCGTCACCGTATTCATATAACTGGAAGAATTTTATAGCGAGTAAAAAATAATAGAAGCGCTTTTTAAATATCACCAATTCCAGTATTGTGAGGATGTAACACATGGACAATTTCAAAAATTTGACCACATTGGCTTACGAATCCATCTCAACCGCAAGCCGCTATTTGTTCGGATTTTTATTGAAGCTGCTTCAGCAGCACGCACTGTATCTTTCACCGACTGCATCAAATTCTGCGCATTTAATACAAGTTGTTGCATTGCTTCTTCATCCTCTTCACTTCCTGCAATCGACAGATTGAACTGCGCATCAACGTTTATATAACGTCACACAAGTAATATGTTTATTAAGTCGCTTAAGAAAATACGAAAATCTAAGCACGACGTTCAAAGCAAATGCTACATTTTTTACCATGCTTTGGTAAAATAAGTGAACTCGAAATGTTAATGTACATCAGTCATCTCGTGGTTTTCCAAAACAAGGGAGAATTTGTCTTTGTAAACTTGTTAAGGCACTCTCAAAACTGTTAGTGATAAAAAAGCATGCCACTTAATTTTACCATCAACAGGTTGTCCATAAGGTCCGATTGCTGCTGAAAAAGTTCTGGTAATGAACAAATTCAAAGGATTTCGAGAGATCCAAAAATCCCTCGTCGTCCTAACCACATTACATTGCCTTCCATTTTTGAATTGTTTAAACTGAACTGCTTAAACCAAAACCAACTCAGTCAATTTACTTAATGGACCAATAAATTAATACCTATTAGAAGGTTTCGACTATCATGTTACAAGTTCAAGAAACATTCCAGAACTCTCACTTGTAGCTTTGTCGATTTAAGTTTAATTCGCATAAGCCCTTCAATATTTATAAGGGTAAGCTTACCTTGAGATCCAAGCATTGTGGCTTTAACAGTTGAAAGGATTTTTAGCTGTGTTGCGATCGTTGGAATCCGTTCACATACTTGCAATAATGTCTGGAATACGGCAATTTTTAAAGGAAAGAGTAACAAAGCATTTAAACATTGAAATGCAATGAACCCTGGATTATAACCTTTTTGGAGATTTCTTATGGATAAAAAAACACGGACCATAAATGTCAGACGAAAAGCAACTTAAAATGGAAGATATTCATCAGAAAAAAATAAACAGTATATCTCAAATGCAAAAGTTTAAAAAAACGAAACAAAAATACCATTCTCATCTTAATGTCAGTGCACTGACGAGCGAGTTGAACGGCAAGTCTTGTAACTTCTTCGCTGGAATCGGCAATAGCTTTGGCGCAGTCAATGAGATCTTTTTTAGTTCCTCCTTCGCCACGCACAAGCTGACTCAATCTCGCCATTAAAATGGCCATACGTTTTGCTGCCGCAACAATTTCATTCTCGTGACTTGACCACTGACGCAATTCCTGATGCAAATTATGAGCGGCACTCAAAATTGGTTGACTAGATGCTCCGGGCAATGGATATCTTTCCCAGAAAGCACGCGTTTCTTCTTCATCATCTGTCTCTGGTGGAGGTGGTGGACGGGGTGGTGGACTGATTTCCACCGGTGGTGGTGGTCTCGGTGGTGTTGGTATATCTTCTCTTATGTATACTCGGTCGTGAACTACTGGGCTGGTGGGTGCCTTTGGTGGTACCGACTCAACCAGCAGGTTTTGACTGGGCGGTCGCGAACCTCCCGCACCTGTTATTGCATCACCCACTTGCCGTACGGCAGATAACAAGTGCTCATTTGTATCACGCCAACTCTGTGCGTTACCACTATGGCGAGGATTCAGTGCCACCTGCTTCGCTTGATTTACCATTGGAGGAATCGCTGAAATGCATGA